AAATACAATTTTTGATGCAGAAGTAACTGATTACTGATCAAGTTGTATCAGATTTGATTTTTGGATATCGGTCTTTTTACAATTTTGCTGCTTTATTTCAAAAGTTCTGTTCTTATGTTGCAAACAAACTTTAGAAGTGAACTTTGACACACAAATATCGCCAGAGTTCGCTATAATTTGTCATTTATTTCAATTGCTGAACGAGCAAATATTAAAAAATATTGTAAAGGTCACAGTTTGCAACCATATTTTACTGTAACTTACTTCACTTTACTCTGATATGAAAGTGAAACCTTTTTCAATGTAAATTTTGAAAGGAATAAAGTTTTAAAATTACCAATACCTTCCTTTAATTCTTCTATTGTTCAGTTAAATAATGACTTTCGGATGATATTAATTATTGTGTAGAGATTATGATTTGAATAACTTCTAAATTCAATTTTTGATTCCAATTCTGAAGTGTTTGGTATTTTGCAATTAAGTTTAAAGATGCCAGTAACTGAAATTAAGAATTTAAAGCATAAATTCCAGGTCAAGAATTCTGATCTGTAAAATAGATCAAATAGCAACTAATTTTTGACTCAACTTACAACTGCTTTTATTTCTAAAACGCAAACGGGAAAGAAAGAAAAAGAATTCTATACTGCGAACAAAAAAAAATATCATGCAGACAACTTGAACGAAAATTTGTCCAAATTTTTTGTAATTAAAAAATATTATTCTGTGACGTCAAAAGAAGAAAAAAATCTAAAATGCAAAATGCTACAGACTACGGAATTTGAATATTACAATTCGGAGTGCATTACAAAAATGCAGACTTTTTACATTTTTGCTAAATTAATTTTCTACCACAAAATTCACAAAGTATAAAATTCTGCACAAATTAATTAAAAGCAATTAAATTTAAAGTTTTGGCTTTAATAATTTTAGCAGTTAATTTTTTTTCATTCAGTCATTCTAGTTCTGTTCAATGAACATAAGTATGCCATTAAATTCAGACCTTTAACATTCTCATTACATATTTACATATCGAGAAATAAACATTAATACTTCCTTCTGCATAATTAAAAAAAAAATTAACTGCTCTGAAACAAAGAAAATAGTAATTTAATTAATGCCATCAAAAAGTATGAGAAAAAATAGCAAATTAAAGATACAAATGTTAGCCAAACATCCAAATTCTTAGTACTTGTATTAGTATTTCCATCTCTTTAATAACTGTTGACTGCTCTTTTGATTAAATGCTTCTACTACTTACATCATGAAGCAACTGACTGCTTACTCTTTTGACGACAATATCAAGGAATCTTTTTCATTTATTACTTCGTATGCTTACTTCTTTATTCTGAAGGAAAAAATTTGATTTTTGATAATTTCTTATAATTCCGGTCTTCTGAAATAGTCACTAAAAACTCAAGCTATTACTCAAACAAGGATTCACTTTACTACATAAATGGGTTTGCACATTTGCTACAACCAATAGACAGTACGTGAAAAAAAAACCTTCACATTATTATTTTGCTATATTTTTGATATCTAATTAGATGGACAAACTGATATTTCATTTAAATTCGACATTTGTCAAAAATGACATATTTTTGGACGAAAAAGCGGAAACAGTAAAATTTTATCATCATTTTGCAATCACTGCACTCTGTAAAAAGACATTACTTTACTGTAAAATGCTTTTTACGGGACTCCATGAACTTACAATACATACAATTTTGACATTTGAAACACAAAAAATATAAAATAGCATACTTGCGAAGTCAGTATATAATTTGGTCATAAGGTATATTATCTAAACGAATTAAAAAACAACCTGATTAGCGTATATCAAATGACGACTAAAATTGTTATAAATCATTTGAGAAAAAACGATCAAAAAATTTGATTTCCAACGTAATTATGCCAATTAATGAAAAAAGAACTGTACAAGAAGCATAAGTTGCAAAATGAATTAACTGAGCAAAGATAGGAAGATCAGATCAATATAGACATTTTCAAATAACAAATGAGTTTGTCAAGTACTGCTTCTGTAGTAACTAAAAAAGGCTTGATCTGGACTATCGTTCGATCCATCGCGTCTTAGATTGTCTCGACTTGCAAAAGGAATTTTTATTCTGATAAATCTAAATAATTTTTCAAAGTTCTGGTCGCAAATTCAATATGAATTAAATTTGGATCGCTAAACTTTATTTCATCAACGTTAAACTTACTTTTCCCTACGATTGCGTGAATGAAAGGAATCACGGAGTACTGATCTGCCATCACATAACTGGCCGTCATTTCGGGATTTTCTGAAAACATTTTTGAGATATTATTCAAAATTCTTGTATAATTTTACTAAAAATCTGCAATTCTGAAAGCAATAAATTACACTTCTAAACAAGATTTCTTATCAGCAGAAATTACTCACAAACTAGTCAAAAAGAAAAGCATTAAGATTCAGTTGTATTAGATATCTGTCAACAAAATAAAAAATAATGGGTTATTATAACAGGCAAAAATTTAATATGACATTGTTTGGAGAGTTAAATGAGGAAGAACAAATTATCCTGCAAAAGACAACATAGGAATAATCTCGCAAAAAAAACTTTTACTTTGATTATTAAAAGATTAGATATTTTATTCGACAGAAAACAATTTGTAAAATACCTATAAGAACTTTTCAGAGGCAATGAACGACTCAACCAATCATAACTTAAGTCATTTTCAACTTCGAGAGAATTCATATCGTCATTTCCACCACGAGATGCTCGCTGCCGTACATTCCTTCTTTCGTTTGTAGAATGCATATGCGATACAGAGTTCTCGAAAGCTTTTTGCGTACTCCTAAATATTTAACTTCGTCAAATTCAGTCTTAGTTTCTCCATGCTAGAAGCAACACTACATCAGAAAGTGAAAATGGCTTTAGAACGACAAAGATTTTTATGACACTGTTTTACCTCGAAGAATCATAATTTTCCCTTAAACTATAACGTTGTGCAACAATATATGAGTCTTCTCCACTATCATCAGAAAAATCATTGTAATCAGCACTTTCTAAATCATACAATTGGGATTCTTCCTCACTAATATGGCCACAACTGCCATCAACAAAATTGGCAAACCTAAGAACAACTCATGAGTAGTAGATGTATATGCACGAATATAACTAAATACAGTATAATAAGAAAAAATTAAGAAAGTAATTCATCAACAGAATTTGAATAAAAAATACCGCTTTGGATCACTCATTACAGAAGTTATTCTCCAGGCATTTGCCTTAGGACTTTGACAGTATTGTCGCAGTTTTTCCAAAGCTTTTCTAGTTTCTTCTTCACCTTGTTGTCGATATTCTTCCACCGTTAGAAGGCGTTGACACTGTGGGAATAAAAACTGCCTACAAATTTCGAAGTTTTATTCTCAATATGACTAACTACTGCTTCTCCAATATCCTACAGACGCTGCAAATTATTCCTTTATTAATGCCCTTTAATAAAAAATACAGCCTATCTAGTGCTTAAAAACACTAATATTTGTCATAAAAATAAAACCTTGAACCTTTTTTTCTTATTCACAGCTTTCATGATAAAATAAAAAACTATCAACAAACTTGGAAACCAAAATAAAAAAACTGATTTATAGAAATTCAAAATTTTCTTACCATACAATTCTACCAATAGACATAAATTTCGCCACAACTTTCATCAGCCATTTGTTCAATAGTGACCACAGCAATAACAAAGCAATAGTTCCAACAGATATATCTGTTATCTAAAAGATAGAGCCAGGAAATATGACAAAAATACTGAAATAAATCATTCAAAAAGTCAAAATCAATGAAAGTCACTTAGACTGCAAAAATAAGGAAAATAACAAATTAATGATTTTAAAAGAAAAAAGTTAGTCGAAAACTACTGCATAAAATTCAGAGTATTACTTGACATGAAGAATATATTAAAATGACAGCTATAAGCTGCAATGCCCACTGTGCAAGATTATGAGATCTGATATCAGTTGGTGGTCCTACACGATAACATATTACAAATGATATCATGATAACTGTGATCAAGTATGCTGCTACAAATTTTTGATACTGTAAAACCAACGATGCAAAATTTTTCCAAAGAAATAAGATAATATATGCCGAAACAGACCAGCCACCTAAGACAAAAGGGATTCCTATCCAGTTCTGAAAATTAAGACATTACAAAAATAAATCAACACACAGTGGTAAAATTTTGGAAACAATTTCAGCCCACATTTTTGAAAAGCAGCAAAAAAATAATTACGCACAAATAAACAAATGACAAAATAAAGGCATTTTTTGTGCAGTTCCGAAATAATTAAAACTAACTTTTGGAGTCATTCGATAAACCACAAATCCTATTATTAACAGTGAAGTAAGAATTCCAATAGCACAGCCACTTGTATAATAAAAAATGGCATTTCGTACCAATGAACGTGACATCAGAAATAATAAAATACTGCCAATAAAAATAGCTAGTCGCATGTAATTTATTTCTAAATTAGATCGAATTTCAAAAATTCCAGATCTTTTATTTTATAGCTTAAAAAATTCAGCACTTGTTTTCAATGAATAATAAAAATAGAAATTCATTAAAAAATCTGAAAACAAAGAATAGAAGAAGTGAAAAAATCGAGGAACTTACTCCATACGCGTATTCTAACTTCATATGGATAAACAGTACTGATACCAATCACAGTCTTATCAAATGGATTTAACTGCTTAGAACGTAGTAATTTGACTCGTTGGACTAATCCCCACAGACGTTGATCATCACGATGATATTGAAATACTTGTGAACAGTTCGTACCCTTTAGAGTCATAATCTTTTTTTTTAATGCAGAAGATTGAAAATTTTTTGATATGAAATAAATATGCACCACCTGATAATAGTATATTTCGTGAAAACAATGATGCATAAACAACAAAATTTATCTATCCAAAACATCATAATAAATGTTAACCTGATAAATTTGATAAGACTGTTCGTTAGTAAGATTAATTTGTAAATAAACATCCATAAACAGATGCGCCAGGCGATGTTGGAATCCATTACAATGGAACATATCCAAAGATTTGGAAAATGACCAGCTAAATTCTTTCATCGGGACCACTGTATATGACGATTTAAGCTCTAAAAGTTGAATTTAAATCAAATATGATAACAATTAGTATAGGAGAAACCTGAATCATGAGCCCGACACAAAATTATTAGTATCAATAATATAAATATGCGACAATTCCTTAGAAAATATGAAAAAAGTTAATCAACGGAATAAAACAATAATATGATCTTTTTATATAATTTAATAGCTACTACTTTATTTTAATCCGATAATTACTTTAAAAAGCATAACCCAAAAAATTTGTTTCCAAAAGTCAAAAATTACCTTGAGTAGTACACTCTGTGGAACTGCTTTCATCAGCCATTACCAAACCAAAAATAATAATAATTACTACTGTTCCACGTAACATAGCTGTTTCTGAATTATAAAAAGTGTAACTGAAATAAATAGTGAAGCCATTCAATATTATAGCAGTTGCTGTAAAGCGGTGACGAAATTTAAATTTTGTGAACTTTCACGAATTGATATATTTGAAAATCAAACGAGGAAAAATAAAAATAATCAATGATAGAATAAAGTAACAGATTATATTCACAGGTTTTTTTCCGAAATATGAAATGTAACACCTTTGAGTTCATAATAACTAGTCACTTTTGCACATATTAATTTAATATTAATTCAAGAAGAACTTATCAGATCAATAGATATTCTTTGCATTTTCATAAATTTACGCTTGTTTTCACGCTAAAATTACAATTTTGTATTACAGTGCTGCCATCAGTAAATGTGGCCATACCAAAATATTCTAACGTGGAATGAAAAAAAAGAGTAAAAAAGCCGATGATAATCAAAAGTTTGATAATTATTATCACTAACACTTAAAGTGAAATCCATCACGTATCTGTCACGCATAACATCATACTTTGTACTCATTAGCTATAAACTTCTCAACAGTTCCTACGATAAAACGTTAAAATACAACTTGTCGGTAATAACTGGAATACGAAAGCGCAAGAATGAAGAAATAATACGTTTCTAATAATTGAAAGGAGTACAATAGTGATAATTATTGAGAGAATTTCTTAACTACTTAATAACTATTACATGAATTAATATAAAAGGCTGTAATATTCGATTATAAACTCCGTAGGATTTCTTGCACGCGGGACTTGAATAATTTTGAAGTTTTCGTCATCAAATGTTTTTAGCTAATTAGATATGAGTTTTAGTTAAACTTAGTTGAGTCCTCTCTCTTGTCTATAGATTTCAGTTTTGTTAAACTTAATTGTGGAACAAAAGTTTAAGTAATTTCAGGCAAATGCTAAGTATAAATGATCTTAGTCGTGGGTTTATTCAGAATATATGTGAAACCAAAAATGCGGAAGAAAGACCTGTAATCCAAGTATTAGTAAGTCATTGTTTTCTTCGATTTCCATGTGTGAAAATTATTTCATCTGAAAGTTTGACATTTTTAATATTTCAGTATTTCTGGGACTGTTCATTTTTTTGGATGATATGTTTACCTGCCATTTTCTCATTTTTTTTTTTGGAAAAGCATTTTTTTTTAAAAAAAGTTCATGATTTTACTGTAATTAACTTTTTTCTATTATAGGAGGCGAGGCCGTTGGTCAACAGTCAAGCCGAATCAGCTTCAGAAGCTCAGTACTTTCGATTTCGGATATCTGATGGAATATTTAGTTACAATTGTAGGTTTTCATCACATATCAATTGTAGTTTTTGTTCAAAGTTTCGAGAGAAACATTATTCTTTTTTGTCATAAATTTTAGAAGATGAGCCTGGAAATGGCTGTTTTGTTGAATTTTCCTAAATAAACCGATAAAACTTATCATGAATCATAGTTTTGTAGAATGAGACGGCAGCACTATGGATGTTTTTTTTTATTTTTGTAACTGAGTAACGTTTAAGTATAAGGCATTAGTTTGTATCATTATAAAATCATGTATTTCAGCCTGTCTTAATCAAGCTAATATAACGGAAAAAATTAAGCAGGACAAACTTGATCGTGGTAATCCAATTTTACGCATAGAATACACAGTGTAAGAACGAAATTTCAATTGTTTTCTTATGATTTCTTTTTAAAATTAATTCTTAATAGTAATATATATTTGCTATGCTATCTATGTTCCATCTTATGTTTCAGAAAAATAGCTCAGAAACCTTTGATTAGAATTATGGATTACGAAATTTTGGGTCAAGATTTACCGGTTTTCGGAAATCCAGTTCATCATTCGGGAAATGCTAAGGATTATCAGGGTTTAAGCTCTATAAATTTGCATACTAATCATTCTCCGCGTCAATCACCTCAAAAAGGTGTCAAAACCTCAGGGCAGAATCTTCCGTCTGGTATTCTTCTTAATACTTTGTTTTCGAAAACCTTGACAACAGACGTGTTCATTGAATGTTTGTAGTCATAAAGAGTCAAATGTCACTCAGCAGTCAACTTTAATCTTTATTTATTATTGCAGTTCGTTGCACAGGGCTTTCTCGTCCATTGACAAGTTTGGTGGGGCAAAACATAACGCCAATTAAATTAATCACGCCATATGTTAACAAGTAAAGTAATTTTGAAAATTCATTCATTTTTTCTCTTTCATTGCTAGATTGTATGAGAAATATAATTACGGAAAAAGTTTTAATTTTTTTTCAAATTTTTTGTTGCATGTCTTTCAGCAAGTATATATTTTTTTTAGAAATAATATTTTATAGATGGAGGATTTGTGGTGTAGTAACAGCAAAGGAAGATTTACGTAATATAAGAACAGCTCGCAGAGACATGAAAGTATTTAATTTCGAATTAACTGATGAGGAAGGAGCATGTATACGCATTGCTGCATTTGACGATATGGCGGAGAAATTTTATTCGATTATTCAGAAAGGATCGGTATAATTTGTTGTTTTTGTGTGTTTCAAAGTTGTTTTTGTGTGTTTCAAAGTTTCTGTCATTTTCAAAAATTTGGTGTTTATCTATATATGTTTGCTTTTCACATTTTTTTCCAATATTAAATCAGAATGGGGGTGAAGTTTTGGTTTTACTAACATTTTTTTGAATAGTACTGATTTGAATAAATTTCAACCTTTTATAGATGTTTTACGTATCAAATGGTACAGTTAAACAAGCGAATAAGCGTTTCAATACCACTGGTCATGATTATGAAATTACCGTAAGGAACGATTCTGAGGTATACATTTATTACTTGCTTCAATCCCTGACACGTAAGATTTGCAGTTCTTTTTTATTCGTCGCTGTTGTCCATTTTTTGAATTCTTTTGCTTCAAGAAGTATTATTTTACTCTATCATTAATGGTCCAGGTTTCGCCATGTTTGGATCGTCAAAAAATTGAGCAACCAAAGCTTTCACTCAATGTTGTTCTTTTGTGCAATGTAGCTAATCATGTGGGGGAGCCAATTGATATAATCGCTATTGTGGAGAAAGTCAACGATATCATGCAGGTATCCTTACTCATGAAGTGAACTTGAGTTATATTGATCAAATTTAGTTCTGCCATTAATTTTCATCTAAACTGTACTCCAACTTTCAGTGGTCATAAAGTTTCGTTTATGACTACAAAATAAGTGAAAGTTGCACCATATTTCATTTTCAGGTGACAGCACGAAGTACAGGGATGCAACTGGAAAAACGTGATATAATATTGATTGATACGTCTGAAACGGAGATTACTTTAACATTTTGGGGTGAACAAGCTCGAACCTATGATAAGGAGATTGAGGGTCAAACCATTGGGATCAAAGGAGCGTTTGTGAAGGACTTCAATGGTTTGCTGCATATTGCTTTAACGTTTTTGCATTATTATATTATACTATTTGATTACAAAAGTGTTGAAGTTTATCGATTTGATAATTATATAAACTGTCACCAAATTGCAGGAAGTTTGAGTTTAAGTACTGGAAATTCAAGTCGAATAGAACTAAATATGAATTGTTCAGAAACTGTAAACTTATATAGATGGTACCGGGAAACAAGACCAACTCTTCAGGTCCGTAACCTGACAACGACTGGATTCAGTTCTGATAGTTATTGTAATTTTTTTATTGAACTGCGAAACGCCTTATTTTTTGGCAGTATTAGTTTAGAAATTATTGGTTTTGCTGCTGAAAAATTGGAACTCAGTTATTGTTGCAGCGCGAGATTTGCGAATTATTTGTCTATCAGAAATTGGTGCTTTGGGACGAAATTCAGAGAAGGGGGCGTTTTTCAACATCACAGCCATGATCTCCTCTTTAAAAGCTGATGGCGCTTTATATAAGGTTGTTTTTGCATTTTATAATCTAATTTTTTAAAGAAAAGAGTTTTAAAGTTTTGTCAAAAATATACAGAAACTTATAAAGATAGATCAAGTCGCATTGCAGAGTTGTGGTACAAATGGATGCAAGAAGAAAGTTATCGAGCTCAACAATCAGTATCGGTGTGAGAAATGTGATGTTACTTTGGATAGATATAAATATGTCCTGCTTATGACGGTTATTATTTTTATTTTTGATTTCTTTACATTTAAAAACTTGATAACGTTTTTCAAAGTCAAAATTTTTAGATAGAAATATCAGACTTCTCCGGCTCTCACTGGGTTACTGTTTTCGAAGATAAAGCCGTTAAACTTTTGAAAAAAGATCCAGAGCAGTTGGGACAGTTGCTAGATAATGATTTGGTTTGATTTTATTTTAAGCAACTTTGTAGTGAGTTTTGTTTCATAATTATTTTAGGCTTTTGGCTAATAGGAATCTTTGGAATTAAGACATTCGTAATAAACAGTTTTTGATTCATATTTCCAGCTAGATGAATATAATGAGGTGTTCAATGCTGTGCGATTTCGGGAATACACATTCCGCATTCGGGCAAAATCCGAGTTTTACAATGTAAATTCGGCTATTTTCCTATTATCAAAGCATTTTATTTGTCATGTATTGATCTTTAATAACAAAGATTGTGACATTATTTGACTTTTTAGAGCTGTTCTTGATTGTTCAGTGCAAAAGAGTTCTTTTTAATTTCAAAATTTTTCACACGGAATCTACGTAATTATTTGCAAACTTGACTTATATTCTCAAGGATAATTTTTATTTTAGGATGAAGAGAAAATTAAATGGAGCGTTTTTGATATTAACGAAGTGAACCACGATAAATATATTGATGAACTGACGAAAGCTGTTAGTAAATTGGAAGCACTGTAAATAAATAGCGATAAAGTTTTGTCCTTCCTGTACTTCTGTGTCTATAATATCCAGTTGTGAATAATTCGTAAGCATTTTGAAGTTTCCAAGTTTGTTTTGCAAGTATTGTTCTATCGTGTTATAATGTTAAAGAATACAGTAATGACTTATAAATAGCTGCTTACTCAATGACTGACTATTTTTGATGTTAGATTATGACGAGGCATCAGCAATTGAGAGTCATACGCATTGTTTGGGAATACTTTTGAGCAGTGCATTGTTTTGATATCATCAAATTTTTCTTCTCATTGTATTTAATCGCTAGATTCAAACTATTGCATGTACTGGTGCACCTAGTTTTAAAAAGTTGACTGCTGAAGATTTGTCTAAGGTGAGGAATTTTAGTATACATAAGAATTCAGTGTTTATATCTTGTTGGCAATAAATAATATAAAAACAGTTTTGTGCATTACCGCTTTCTACTTCGGAAAATTTATATACATTGAAGTCAAATAAAAGTCACCACATATCAAGTATTTATCAACACATTGTTGTTTCATTCATATATATGTGCAGTCTTTGCCTCCTCTTTCCTCACTTTTGCTTACAACGTCATTGTATGCCTACAACGTCATTGTCTCTTACAAACTCAAATATATCCGCAACTAAGTTTCTGTGATTATTATCGTCCGAATAAGCATTCAAGTGACTCTCTGTGACGGGAACGAGGGATAGAAAATCGTGGGTGCTTGTGTTGTTGGTACTAAATTTGTAGTACTATCACGAAGGAGCATTCCTTGTTGCTGAGCCGAGTAAGATAGTGACATTTGTCGTTCGTATTCCTTCCTTACCTGTTTTAATTATAGTATTCAAAATATATTGTATTGTATTGTGGTACAAATTTGCTATTATCAGTAAAATATCATTATTTATTTCAAAGTAAAATCTTAAATTACTTGCTGATTTTTAAAATTACTAAAAATAACTCACACATTCAATTTGCTGCGTGTAAATAGCCAATTGAGCACGTAACGCTTCGTTCTCCTTCTCAAGTTCGTCAACTTTTCGTTGCATCATTTTTTCTCGTTCACGTCTATTACTTCTTGATTTCTTTGCTGCTAAGTTATTCTTATCTCTTCTCTCACGATATCTGTACAAACAATATAGATGAAAACTTTACAGTTACTTTTTTCCTTTACTTATTTTTTATATAATTATAAATTTGAGATTTTTTTCAATCCATTTTAAATCACGAAGTTTATTTTGTTCAATAATTTACTGCATGAGATAGCAAAAATTGATGATAATTTTTTAGCATTAATAGTTTCAGCAAATATTTATCATTCTCAGTCAATAAAAAAATTATTTATTTATTATTGAATCAAAAATTGGGAAGTAAAAAAAATCGAAGGCTTGATGTTTCGTTCTGATTCCATTCATGATGTATTATCGTTTAAATGTAGAATAGTTTGATAGATCATAAACGAGATCAGTAGAAGTATCGATTGAAATGATAACACTTGTGACTGATAGATGGTAATCATATGGAAATCAGCTACGACAAACATGTTAAGCCTCGTGAAGATTGCCTAAATATCTAAAAAAAATCGAATTATTTACAAGAAATTTGTGGAAGATGAAGTTTCAGCCAAAATGATATGATGTGATATGATATGATATGATATAGAAAGTTTCAGTGATTAAATTTATTCAGCGTATTATCAATATTTGTTGTAAATATAAACATTAATAATTCCTTCTTGCATAGTTATGAATTCGAAGACTAAGATGAGATATTCTGGCCAAATTTAATAAAAATTGTCATTAGAATAATACTTACAACATTGAGAAGGTAATAATTCGTTACAAAGTAATGCTATAAGTCAGCTATAAAATATGTTGTAGGTATTGTTATCATAGGATTGTTTGCCATCAGATATTAATTTGTATGTGCTATCCTTCTCATAATTTGGCACAATATCCTTGATATAATTTGCATCAGTTTGTTTTAATAAATCAAATAGTCAATTGATATGCAAATTTTTCTACTTCCTACGAGCTTCTTCATCTTCAGGAATAATTGATCGTCGATGCTGTTGTCGAGACTGTGGTTCTTCGTCATCTTCTTCTTGATGTGGTGGAGGTGGTGGTGGTGGTGGTGGTTGTATTGGTATTACTGAAGATGATGTTATTGGTGGTAATGAAAGAGTTGTAGGAAAAATATCTTCTTGATGTTTTCCAAGATTTAGCATTGAAGGAGGTGGATGTTCATATGCTGGTGGAATTTGCATACTGTACGCGGCAAAATTTGGTGTTACCATATTAGGTGGCATTGCTGTGGGATACGAAAAATAGAGTTGAGGATTAGTACCATCGCTTTTTCCTTCGCCCATATAAGGTGTTGGAAGCATTTTCACTTCAACTGTACCCCTTAAAATAATATGCAAATTAGATATCAACAGTAATATCAATAACACGTTAAGATTTGGTAGAATAAATTGCACATATTCCATTGTATCATTTCAGTAAAAATTATGAATCAGAATTTTATTTTAGCGCTAAAATTTATTACACTTAATTTCTTCTTCTTCTTTAAAAAGCCTCAGTAATAGTAGTCAATTAGTAAACTGATATTATATAGAACAGTTATACTGTAAAAATTATGAATATAAAATTTGAACGCAGTTATAATTTTTATAGTTTAAAAAAGTGCTTTGAGAAGATATAGTATTGATTTCATTTAAATCAGGAAGTTGTTCAAATGTTGAAGTAAATCTAATTAATTGATCAGATTTAATTCGAAAGGTAATTCTTTGAAGATCAATATTCACCCAAAACTCAAAAATTTGTGCTTAATACTCAATTTTATTCATCAGAAGTAATTTGTCCTGGCTGTTTGCGCTTTTTTGCTGAGTTTTACTATTTGTAGTTATATGATATTAATCCCACTCAACAATTAAGTCTTGTACTAAATTTAGAGATCAATAACTACGTACTTATTAATCAAGTAATAAAGAAATTAAAGCTGAAAAAACTTTTATTCAATTTTTCAAGCATAGCTTATGTATGCATAAAGTTTTTGCAATACATAATCCAATTTCAATGCCAAATATTTATTGTGTTCAAAATTTAGTAGAAAAATAATCGTCTTGCATGAAGAATTTTGATTCTAATTTGGTCAAATTGAGTTCAAATATCATTTCCAATATTCATTGCTATCCCATCAATAAGAAAGGGTAATTATGCGTGACCTACCAGATAATTTTTAAAAAATTATATAGTCAACTGTTGAGAGACCATAATTTGTAGAAATAAAAATTGTACACTTTATATTCTTTGCTTCCTTCACAACCAATTTTGAGTAAATCGTAATTTAAAAATATTTGTATTCGAGCACTACGAATGACAATACAAAATGCTTTTATTATTTGTTAAGTAAACTTTAAGTCTATTACAGTTTCAAAATGAGTCCGATTGTTTTTCAAATGTTTTTGAATATCATCAAGTAATGGAATCATAGATCCGTGAAGGTCGATGCTACAGACCAATAAAATTACTTACTGATCCAGGAATAGAATTATAAATAGTTTTAAAAATTCTTGATTTAAGCCATAGATTAATTAAAAATCAAAATTTAAGTATTAGTAAGACATAACAAATCAAAGCTTACAGTTTTAAACATGCAAAATTACCGTAAGGTGCTATGAAAAATCAACGTCAAAGTTATTCAGAATAACTGTCAGTAGAACTTTCTCTTTTTAGATCATAACTTCTGATTACTCTTACTTTTACAATTATTTTAAAGTGATATACAATAATTTCATAGATGCAAAATCTCAGCTAATATTACTATATGAGGACATTTTTTCATGTAATGAGGAAGATAACATAATTCCATCATAATTTAACTGCTTCTAGTAGTATATCAAAAGATAATTACAGTAAGTATGAAACGTGTGAGTTCAATTATTTGATCTTCCCCACATTTTTGAACTGTGAACTTGAGAGGTATAAACTTGCATAAATTTCCATCAAGGGGTATGCGTAACTACAGAAAATTATTAATGCCGTTCATGATTTATGCTCATAACTTAACTTTATTAAAAGGAAGTAGATATTCAGATGAACGGAGTCAGTGGCAAAAAATTAGATTATGTTTCATTCCATGTCTTGCGCTTTGTGACCTTAATGCTTTTTCTCTTTGACCTCAGAATCACTTCCAGTGAACAAAAAATGAATTTTTGCCACATTTTTTTTGTATTTATCAAAATGTAATCTTATACCTTAAAATAGCACAAAAACTCTCAGCTAATTTTCGCTAAATTCAGTTTTCCAAAAATTTAGTTGTACCAATAAAATAAACAGACTAATTTTAAGAAAAATGAAACGTGCAATATTTACATATTTTACGTGGAAAATTACTTGTGCAAATGAAATATATGTAAAAGAATCTTTCCAAAATATATACTAACTTTTTTTAATTAAAAGGTTTTCAAAATATGCACTAAATTTATAACAAAATTAACATATTTTGTTTATTTGCAAGAAATATTTTTACAATAATTTGCAAACTATTTATTTTTCGAAGAGATAACCAAAATGTAATTAAATGAACTTTGACATATTTGAATTTTATCCATTTTTTTACTATATGCATATAAAAAGTATATATTATACAAAATAAATGGCATATTTTTTACAAAGAAGTAGACTGATCTATTGGTAGTGAAGAGGGAAGAGCAGGATATTCAGGCGAACACAATTAAAGATATCGAGCACAATCATCTCCGTATACAAATCATCTCTGCATCTCTTTATACAGTAAAGTTATGATACAAAGTACATTTTACTTATTTTGCATTCATTGGATAATGGAAGAGACAATAATCCAAAGTTTGGCGCGATATATCGTATCAATTCAAGATTTATGCAAATTTACATCCTTCACACACATTTTTTCTGTGAGTTTTTGATATATTCAAATTGAGTATGCAACAAAGAATAAATAAATTTGCAGAAAATTGCATTTCATCTTAATTTGTGCATATCACCCATTATTTTTATCATCATTTCACAATTACAGAATATATCAAAAACTCACAGAAAAAATGAATATGAAATAATTATTATTATCAGTTTTATATTTACTGTAGAGAAAATAATACCAAATATAGTATTAGATTGAATTTTATGCTCTCACATTTCTTGTATGATTATTTACCGATTCTCTTCTCTATTTTTTTTGAAATGTGCAGGAAATGAAGTCTTGAAGCTCAAAGTTATTCTATTCAATCTAAAATTTTAACGCTTATAAGAAATTGAAGTGAATTGGCTATGAAATTACTGTTTTGCTTCAAATCTCTACCAGTACTTGTTGACGAGCTAGTCAAGGCTGCCAGTAGATAGACGACTGCTTTTGGATATAAGCGTGAAATTGGATCATACTTGCGCAATATTATTTTAATTGATGAATTTAGCATAGTGTCGAAAAATTAAATAAAACGATCAAATTACAGTCTTGAAGTCATTTCTAGCAAATTAACAAGCGAATTAACGCCATAATTACGACTAAATTAGCAATTAGCAATACATATTTTACAATACTGACAGACTTCATTTATAGTAATTCATATCTAACAATGAGTTCTGATTACCTTTCCGTGATTGTAATTTTCTACTAGATTGCAACTTGCTGTACTATATTTTTGATTAGATTGAGGTAACGATTTAAAATGCTATAAGTTACCATCACTTTTAACTTTTATTACCGTATGCAAAACTTATTTTAGTAATATTTGAAATTATGCCTTTTTGATTATTTGAATAGAGAAGCCTTTTCATTAATTACTGCAAATCTACCAACAAAAATACAAAAATTTGGTGAGAAATTTCAATTAAAAATGCGCATTCTTGGTGTTTGCCATTCAAGAAGTACTGTAGTACTATCTTATTGTAAACCTGATGTATGTGTATTAACTGCAGTAGTGCATATACACCACAATCATGGCTTAAAAAATCAATTAATTACTTCAAAGGCATATGGACTCTACTACTCTCAAAAAGGGTCACTACTATTTTACTGTAAAAAGTATACAGTATCCCTCGAAGTATTACTTCAAATTTTGATTGATATGGAGGAAAAAATTTGAATTTATACTTGATTATTATTATTAAAACTTTAAAAATTGTAGAAATCATTGAGAGCACAAAATCTGATTTCAGAAAGAGATGAAGGCATTGGTACCAAGCAATATTTGCTAAGCAAAAAGAAAGTTATTTCTTTGCAATTTAAACGTGTGTTGACTTCAGACTATGGAAAGAATTTTTCAGACGCATAAAGTAAGACTGAATGGGATTCTTTAGAAGTAATTCTTCTGGAGAATGACATTCAGTCAAGCGTGCAAAATCTGGATAATTTCATTTTCAGATATTGTCATCTCCTTTGGTGTGTTACTGTGACCAACTGATCTTTCAATTTTTGTATTAAATGGAAATATCTGTGCGTGCAAATTATTCTTCCACTTACCAATATTATAGTATTAGAACACTGTTAATATTTGAAATTATCATTTTGCTTACGTCTAATTTTTGAACAAATGCACAATGGCCCACTAATACAGTACATATGGAACCAAAGATAAAAATGATTTGGTAAGTCAAAGAACAGTTCAAATCATTTAACTATAAGTAAATATAAGCATACATACTATGTAAATTTTAACCTATTTCATACAAATTTCACCTTCAAATAAACATATCGTAATAAGAAAAATTATGCAAAAAACTTGCGCAATTAGTACAATAGTTTACAAAATCAAAGTTGAAATTAGAATTAAATTTTTGACAATGATTTGTGAAAATTAGAAAAGGTAGCAAAAATGCGCAACTTTACGCAACGTACTGTGCAATGGCACGTGAAATGAAATGAGTAGATATTGCAATTTTGTAAGGAAATAAGAAAAGAAGGTGAGGACAAGGATGAGGGACTCGTGACCTTATAGGTCAGGTGCTTGATTATTGATTGATGAGAGTGATCAGAATTTGCAGAGATCAGTTGTTATGTAATAGTGATTTAGTCGATTTTTCTTATGTCTCCCTTGCATTCATTCACCCACCCATTTATTAATTTGCTTCATTTGATGCAATCTAATTACCAAAGAAACCATAGAAAATTATGCACATTTGTACATAGTCATAAAGTAATTTTGCATATTCTTTTTATTAAACAAAAAAGATGACAAAAATTTTTATTAAAAATATTAATAACAAGTGAATAAATGAATAAATGTATTATTACATTCCAATAAATAAAAGTGATACTTACGGAAATCAGATTGAGAATGCATTTGGCCTAGTCTGAAAATTGAAAAAAGAAAAGATACATGGAAAGTATGCATTTTAGGATATTTTTGTATTTTCGTATCCTTCGTTTCATATGTAAACACAAAAATTTTCATGCAAAAAATAGTACTCATTCATGCTATTACTGTATATTTGCTTTTGTCTTTTGTTTTTTGAATATTTAATTAAATCAAAAATAAACTGCCTTAAACATCAAAAAAGAATCATTACAAAACATTATTAATTTATTTAAAATTTTTCCTTTTTAATCAAAAAAGTTTCATAAATAAATTATGCATTTCACGGTTTGATTATGAGCATAAATTATTTGCGCTGTATATTATTAACTATACTTGTTTCTATTTTAGTTTACTGAATTTAATTGCAAACTGTAATTTAATTCCACCGATAAGTATAGTTAATAATATAGAGCGCAAATGATTTATTATGAGGATAAATTATTTGCGCTGTATATTATTGACTATACTTATCAAAAAATTTTGAATCAACCTTTCAACTTTGACATCATTGATAATATACTTATTTTAAGTGCATCTTTCTTATTATAGTTTACTGAATTTAATTGCAAACTGTAAAGTAATCCGAACACTGTTAATAATGAATGTTATACTTTTATGGAGCATATAACTTTTGTGAAAGTTTTTCAGTCACAGATTATTTAATTGAATGAAAAATAAACTTTAATGGAATTAAATTTGATTTAATCCACTAATTTATATGATCACTCTGTGAAAAGTAAAGATGCATGAAAGTGATCTACTGAAGAAGTATTATCTACACTATAGACTACACACCAGAAAGGGAAACTTGGTTACTGTATACTTGGTTAATATACAACCTTCTCTACTTACGATATATAACCTTATTTACTGATATGCAGGCAAGAGAGATGTATCACGTCTACAGTATCGCTGAACCAATGACGTATAGACCGCAAACCCGAGGTATGCGCGTAATTTTTGGATAGTCACATAAAGAAAATATTACCTCTAGAATCTGTTTGCTTAAATTTATGTTTTCGAGCTGTCACTGTCTTACAGTCATCTAAATTCTAAATTTCTGTATCAAATTCAGAAAAACAAAACTCTAATTTGAAGAAAGCAATTTCTCCCCTTGACTATATTTCCCCAATTCTTGTATAAAATTATTGTCGTAGCGTTATCACTTGCAGTACAGCCGTATTAAATAATCATAAAGCTTTAGTTCATCAAATTAAAAAGAATTACTCACAGCTTCCATCTGAGTTACCAGAGAAGCATCTCGTCCAAATTTAACTCATTGTAAGACTTTTTTACTTGAAAACTTAGTGCTATTTTTGATATTGCATTTGCAGCAAACAAGTTGATAATTCCTGAGAAGTTTATTACTTACATAAATAATCTAAAGGAAAATTTTGATGGAATAATCAAGAAACAAAGCTAAGGCACTTACACGATTACTTAAATAAACGAACTTGTGCATTTCACAATGAAAAATAAGTAAAAATCTATGCATACTGTTAATTTGAACTGTTTGTAACAAATAATATGCAACACATTTCACTGATCACTGAGTGCACAGTGAAAGTGAAATTGCAGTGAGAACTGTAACGAGATAATTAAATGCTGGTAGCTTTTTTAATTTATTCAATCAGATGTCCGTGGGATGATTTCTGCTGCTTTTAAGTGAGGTAACACGTGATGTTCATAGAACAAAAAAGATTTTTTCTGTGGCTCTTTCTTTCAATTTTCCTTTCCTTCGTCATAAGTCATTTGAGACTGGATCACTTGCTGAGGTCATATAGCGACAGGCACGGTCTATTTTGCTTTGTATTGCGACCATAAATCAATATCAAAGACTGCAAAATCAAGGATCGATCACAGACTTCTCCTGACCTCTGCAGATGATGACCTCCTGCCTAGATCACGTCTTTCAATCACACTGATTTATTTGGAAAATCGATCTCTTCTTGCAATCACCCGATCAATATTTCACCTCAAATTATAAAGCAAACATATGCATAATGCTAGTTACTTTTGTTCCAGTTACCTCTCGGTCGAGGTACAACGATGGAATGTTGTAACACCGTAGCAGCTAATTCCTGAAATTTGCATCAGTGCGTACAAAAAAACTGATCTGTAGTGAAATCTATGAAAAGAAATTTTAGTTAAAACTATAATTTTTAACAGATGAAAACCTGAGATCAAAACTAAAAAAATGTCCATAACAAAATCAACAACATACAAGTTGTTCATCAAACAGCGTAATTTATAATCACTTTTCAATATCTGCCATATACTAATTCCTTTACAGATTAAAAGACAACAACAAAGCAACACAAAAAATCTTCTTTATAACTGATATAAATCAATTTTAAACAGAATATTTACACGCCTGTCTAACTTAGTATCAACAAAAGCTATTTAAGATGCTACAATGATTATTACCTGACAAAACTGCGAAAGTATAATAGCTGCAAAGACAAACTGCTTTGCCCTCGCATGATCTAGCGTCACATCACGACTTTCCATTGCTTTGTGCGTATAAATACGGAATTCATGTGGGTGAGCAGAACCATTATTTGAATAACGACGAATGCTCCGACCGAATGGTCGAAATCTAAAACAAAGTGATTTGACTTGAACAAAATCATAACATTTTAGTTTTTTAATTATCTACTGAATACATTAAATAAGTGGTCACGATTGTCCTCTTAGCAATCAAAACTTGCCAAAAAACTACAGAAACTTTCTTCACTGCATTTGCGATAAAAAAAGAAACAAAAATCTATCGCAAGTGCTCCATAAAAATTACCGGTTTAATAAATTTCTCGATGAATCCATTCCTTCCAATGTATCATTATGCGAATAAAAAAAGTCATTAGAATATTTAATGTGGGATGAATGCAGCCGATTGCTCTCAATGATCTGAAAATGGCGATGTAATTTCTTAAAGAGTGGAAAAAGAAACTGAAAACTTTTTAAAATTATTTAATTCATTATGACTTACTTTTTCATGACGTTCTGCTCTTGATCGTAAAAACTTGATACCCCTTTCTAATAAAACATCAAAACCATCAAGCGAAGAAGCATATTCATCAATTTGCATTTTCAACGAGCTTATAACCTGTTGTACAAGTTATGTCAAAAAAGATAACTTTAGAAGTTAGAACGCAGCAAGATTTAGGCTTCAAAAATAATTCCCAATTCAAAAATATCTGCCCACTACCTTAAAAAGATTTTTTACACTAGGTTGTAAAATCATGCGTTGATCAAACAGATAATGAGCGATAAGAGGCTGAGGATACGATGCAAGTGCTGCTAATACTGATGTTGTCTGAAGCGTTACGTACAATGAATTATTAAGTATATTCTCCAACGACCGTAATAGAGATTCCAGAAAAGGCCCAACTCCTTGAAATCAATGATTTGTAAAGTAATACATGAATGCAAATTTAATTTTCTTGATTAAAATATGTGATCCCGAATTCCTAAAATTAGTATACTCCGCATAAACGGATGGAGAGATATACTATATTTTTTCGATCACATCATAAAGATAATCAGCAAATATTTTGCGGAATAATGAGCAATAATATAAAAAATATTATAAGACAAATTTATTCAGTAAATGAATATTTTGCAGACATGAAAATTTTGCAAAATCCAAAATATAAGTCTCTGTACCATAGAACCAAATGGATAAAATTCCTCTAGTATTATTTTGATTATGCATATTTAAAAAAAAAATAAAAGCTGAAAAGTAACCTTGATTTTCCAAACATTCAATCGGATAACCCAATGGCGCAAGGCATTCTTCATTTTTGTTGTTATTTCTCTCATCTTCCGCTTCACTGTTAGTGTTTACTTCTTTTAGTAGTTTATTTTCAGCTTTTAGCTCTTCAAGATACTGAATCCGAGAATCGATCAGAGCCAAATTTTCTTCTAAGGAATGTTTTACTTTTGTTGGCGGAACTCTATCCAGTAAAGCCATAAAAGTGTTCACATCCTAAAACCAAAGATTCTCATAACTTTAGACACAATTTTACTTCTCGCTCTGGAAAATAATTAACTACGAGCGAATTTTTATGGTAATTTGATAGAATGCACTTACCTCTACTTGTCCCCAGCCTCTTAAAACAAAAGATTGCGTCAATTCAATATCTGTATCACAATTTGCACTTGATGAATTCTCTTTATCTGAAACCGTTTTCGTTGAGTCTTTCTTAGAATTGGCCGTGTCAGGATTGACCACTTCTGTATCGGTCTCCGATAACTCTCCATAAGCAAATTGGAAATAATCACTCGATGAAGTCATCATCATAAGTGATTTGGGTCTAAAATAAATAAATTAATAAAGCTGCTGATTCGAAGAATAATTAGACTCAAAAAATCCTTTTTTCATGTCACTTTACTAAAACCATTTATAGTGGCTTAGTTAATACAATAATATATACAGTTTTCAAAAAACGAACGTTAAGGGCGGTATGATTAGTTCATCGTCATCATCATTCAGTAGTAGAGAAGGATTTGACATATATGGAAAACTTCTTTTTGGAAACAAATCATTCTCTCCTAACTCAGGTAGCGGTGTGTTTTGACGAAGACTATCAGCAGTTACATGAGCATTTCGACTAACAAAGTACCGATTCCGATTACTTCGAGCAGATAATGATGACAAACGAACTGAAGAGTGTCGAATGAATCCCTAAATATAATTTCTATGCATCAAAAAAAAACAATTAAAGACTCAATGTGTAATGAGTTGAAAAACACAAAAAAAATTCTAAATACGCACTCTTCAATAAGCCCAAAGTACACATTGCAATACATAAAAACGATGAATAAAATTTTTTCAGCAAAATTCAAATTATTCAAGTATTTTAATATTTAAAAAAATCTGGAGCAAATGTTGCATATGGACTATCATGAATAGCAGCCTCAAGAATACTTCGTTGTATTTAATAAGATAAATGTGAAAAAGTCAAAGTAAAACTGCTGTTTGAAAAAGCTTCCTAAAACGAACTCACGTCATTACAACTGGGACTACTTTCATCATCCGAGCTTAATTTCAGCATGAGAAACGACGGATTACGACCATCATAATTCCAGACCCACTTTTCCCAACAAGCATTTGCTGTTTGTTGTACATAATTTCGACACTCATTAATATAAGTATACAGCGTCATTTGGGAACATAACTAAAACTTTTTATTACTAGCCAGCATCAAAAAGTCTACTACTTGATCTTTAAATTGTAGTCGATATTAATCGACTGTCGAAATTGAGAGCAACTTTTGTTGATTTATGGCACTTTGAAAGACGAAGATTATAATATATTTGGTTTACAACGCTAAAGTAAATATATTTCCTCTCTTCTATCTTCTCTCACACGAAATTTGTAGAACGATGATATGTCAGTTGCTACTTGAGCAATTTTTGGCTGTAAATTAATACATCAATTTTACGGCTTTATGATGAATTTATTTAGCGCAACGTCTAAAACCTAACGCACATCATTAAAAGGTATCTTAATGCACATCATTAAAAGGTATCTAAAACCTAACGCACATCATTAAAAGGTATCTTAAAAGGTATCGTTTAGGGAGCAACATATTAACTCGTATAGGGAAGGGAATGAATCTTTGACATATTAACTGAATTGAACAGTAACAATTATTATCCTGAACAGGTAAATAAATTAGAGCGTTTTTGGAGCAATTCAATATCTGAAAAAAACTTACTGCTGATGATTTAAGTGTACATTCAGGAATCAATGTTAATAACATCTGCGCAGCTTCTCTTACATACTTTTGATTTTTCAGATGAATCGCTTGATTCGTTTGCAAAAATGTGCAAGGCAAAAGATATCTTAAAAAAATGCAAATGAGCAAAAAATATAAAGTATGAGAATTAGGTTTTTTGATGTAAGAAAAGAATGACATCAGTTACTTGTTAATAGAAAAGCAGAGTTAAAATGCTCCAACACCGAAGATTAATATTAAATATAGCAAAAATTGATATAATAAATAAATACTGCAATATAATAAATAAATACTGCACTATAATAAGAATTTATTGTGATTCAAAGCCGAAAAATTTAATTATAAAATATATGTATATATTAGTTTGCTAATATTAAGCAAAACACACACACTCGACAGACTTATTCTTGTCAGCCATTCCAAACCCATCTTATTAACTTATCAAAACAAAAAAGATTAAATTAGAGTCGTGTCAAATAACTTAATCTTTATTATTCCTGGCATACAGGGATAAACGTGATTGCAAATAATGAGAAGAGCAAGATTGTTATGAGACTGAATAAATGATCATCCCCAATTTATTTTACGTTTCACGATAATTTTTATCTCTACAGCTAAGCTATTGAAACTTGCTGAGAAGTATAAAAAAGATAAAATCTAACATTAGTCAATGAACTCTTTTTTCAACAAATGAGATAAACGTTTATTGGTATTTAAAAGAAATCACGCTATTTTTTTAGGAAGCAACCGTGAATAACAAAAAACCTACTTGAAAACAAGATCAAACATGATATCTTCACAGCGCAAATCAATCAACGTCCTCAGTAATGATAGACTAACTTGACTGAGCTATAAATCGACTTAATAATAAAATGCATATAACGGTATCGAAAATAAGCACGCGTAATCTTTTTGAATATAAAATTCAAATGATTTGAACAACTGCATGGATTTTTTTGATTAGCATAAAGATTTAAATAAAAAAATTTTGATATCTCAACAAAATTAACTCGATTTCCATAAGATATCCTTTCTACGATTACATCAACAACCCTCTTGTTATTGTCAGACTCAACAAGGAGCAATTTGATAACTGTTTGGACGAGTGCTGGCTCTGTTACGCTTTCCAAACAAAGGTGATAATATGCTGTAGATGAGATCAATTCATCCTGACCACCCTATAAAAATATTATAAATTATTCTCTACACTAATTGAGTAGCACTAAAGATTTTTGACTTTGGTTAAAATTTGAAAATCAGATAATAAATTACCATAAGAAAACTTGACTACAAAATCATTTTTATTATGTTACAGATATCTTTTATTCAAGTTTTTATTCTTGCATCTCTGACCTTTTAATTCAAACAAATTACACCTCTAATAATGAAGGAAGAACAACAGGAAGCAAAAATCCGTGATAAACATATGCAATAACTTGTGCTACAACACAGCTGTGAGCAACCTGCAAATATTTACAATCAATACTATCGATATTACAGCTGAAATGTATGAAAAATATTCAGAATAAAACCAACCTGTACAACAGCATTACAAAAATTTAGTGATGAATGGAAGTCCAACAAACTCGGGTATAATTCGATGTCATCACTATTTATCTTGTGCCAGTCATCACTAACATATAACATTGAACCAACTGAACGAGATAATTGTGAGAAACACCCCGAAAGACCAGTAGCAACTACTGGACAAAAATTTGACTAAAATGCAAGATTTATTACAAATTTTGAATAAGGAAAAAAGGTCCACTAGACGATATTTTTCAGGAAACTCATATAATATTATATTATAAATCATGATCTGTAATATTACACTGCCTTAACAGCATAAATTTTCCTCACTCAAGCCAAACTTTTGTACGATCACAGCTCGTAATAGTCGCAATTTTAAATCGCCAGAAAGTTTAACAAAAATTTTAATTTGCACTCAAAATCTTTGAGTCACTTTAATTTTCTACAGAAACTTTAAAAGCAAAAGGCACATAAATAGATAAATGACATGAAAACCTTTGAAGCAATGAATGAAGCAATATGCTTCATGCGCTGCGAAACAGAAAGTATAAGAAGTAAAGCATCACGAGCCAGTTGCCCTATGTCACCGGAATCATAAAGATATGGTATCAATAAGTTAAATACCAGAAACTGCTCATTACAATCACTGCAGAAATCAAAAAAGAAATGCAACAAAGTTGCATCTTCCGCTAATTTTGTACAAACCTAAAATAGATTCCAAAGATTAAACATACTAATCTGGTCTCTCTAACAATAGAGAATTTAGAATGTTTTAACTTTAAAATACTAAGAAGCCTGTATCCGTCATGATCTATGCATCTTAATTCTTGCTTTCCATGCACAGAAAACTTTACTATAATTAATATATAGATCATTAGTAAATTTCAAGAAGTAACTATTATTTCACTAATAAAGAATAAAAATTTATTCTTTAAAAGTAAGATATTGTAACCTGATTTAAAAGTAAAACGAAATGTCGATCCATATCAGATGGAGTAAAATTCCTCTTCTCGGCACTTTGTCTGCACCATTCTAACAATTTTAGCAATGGAGTTAGGATTGGTTTGTGAACTAATAAACAATGATTTTGCGTGTGACTTTCTCCGACAATAATTTCATAAAGTCGAATTAAATTAACCTGCATTATTGCTACAAATAACTTACAAAAATTAACAATCAAAAGTATCTTCAGTTTATGTTCTTACTGCATAATAAAAAGCACTAAATCAGCTATTATTTGGAATAGCTATGCAAAGCATAACTTTTTTTCGTTCAAAATTTGAAGGATCTTTACTGACACAGCGTATCTTAATTAAAAAAAAAACCCTAACATAATCAAATTTCAAAATTATTTCACTTTTTGTTTGATTATATATAAATTCTTTTTGCATTAACATAAAAGCAATCAAATATTGAATCAATAAATTTTAAGTATGTCTGTAATAAACATTATAAAGAATTATTCAGAGCGGTGCTATATTTTAAAATAATAAAATAATCTGCTGACTACAAAAAGCAAAACTATGATAGGATTATCATTTTTAAATTAATTGTTGCTGAACAAATTAATTAAGGATTTACTTGACATGTCGGTGTGAGAAAATAAGGAGCCATAATTGCCCAATCAATTACACGTTCCATAATTTGGTGAGTAAAATAACGATCTAAGATTGGACCAATTGCAGATTCTGGCTGAGCATTTGCTTCCATCATTAATAATTGAACTGTACAATTCAGATGCCGAAAAACAGCCATTACCTGTACAATACAATAATAAACCGTTTTCATTTGTCATTCATTTATAATAACTTTTTTTTAAAGGTTTTTAAAAAGAAGGAAAAGCAACTTTCAATTGTTATATGAATCGTGAAAAAATCCCTCATATTATATACTATAGAAAAAACAATAGCTAATAACTGCTAGAATTAAAAGAATGAGAGAATAAAAAGAAATTAATAACAAAATTTTTTAAGCAGAGAAAATAATTGTTTGTTTTGAAAGAGTTATACACATCTAACCAACTTTTTCATATTTAATTTCTTCAGCTTGCAGCAATTCTTCTGCTTTTCGCCAATGTGTATCAAAAGTACTCTCCCAAGAGCATGGATCTGATGCAAAATCAACATTCCAACGAATATCTAACTCAGAGTTTACAAATGGTGTGGATGGTGATGGGAGAGGGGAATCTGTTGTACGCAATTCTGCGGACGCTGAACCAGATGAAGCTGGAACAGGTGAAGTGATTGGAGATGTGCTAGTCACAGAAGTTGAACCAAATTTGGAAAACCATCGTCGCATACCTGACAGAGATAAATAAGTAGAATACATTTATTTACTACAGTAACAAAAATAACAAAAAAAAACATAACAAACTCAATATAATTATAGTTTTTATACTATCCATGTAAAATGATCAAAAAAGTTTACACATTCTAAAATTGTACTCAAAAATAATAAAGTAACGATTAAATATAATCTAAATTTTGACTGTCTGTGACTGCCGACATTGTAACTTTTTCTAAATTTACATCAATTGAAAAGGATATTTTATAAGTAAAAATATGCTACGCTCACAAGACTATTTGAAATAAAAGTTACAGTTTGTGCAGACTATTTAAAATACAAAAGTTGAAGACGTAAAATGGCAATTAGCGTGGACGTGACATTTAATTTTATGATTTTCGAATCATAATATTTTAACAAGTTAACTTTTTTAATTACTTTTAAAAATTCAACGAAAAGTTAAACTTTTGCAATGTACACGCTCAGTACTGAGCACAAAAATCTACAAATATCACAATAAAATGTAGTAAATGCATGCATGACTCATTCATGCAAACCTGATTTGTCGTATATATGGCTGCAATAGAAGAAAAACAATAAATTAGGAGCACAAAAATTAAATTTTTGATATGGTCGTCGGTTATTTTCGCAGATCTTTTAGAGTTGGATTCATTTATTGCCATGATTTTTCAAATTGTTTAATCATAAACTAAATTATTTAATAAAACAAAAGTAGCTTAATGCAAGGAAACTAACTAAAACAATTTTTTTGATCATTTTTTAAATTATTTTAAACGTAAATTTAATTAAGTACACCAATCTTTTCATTCATAATGTGTTCAAAATTTGGCTTTGTATGTCTAAAACTGTAAATATTTGAGTAAATTGAAAAATAATTAATTAAAAAATAAAAACTGTGACTGAAAAGCATCGATCTCTCGCATATTTCAAGAATGCAAAAAAAATTCGATTAGTAAATTTAATCCAAACTTTTCTCTTTTGAATATAAGTCATTACGAATATCATTACAAATATTAAATAATGCATGTGTACTTCTAATGTACTAGCAGTTTGAATAAGAAATTAAGACTAACTTAGAATCCAAAAGCTCCACATAGTAGCATAAATTTGTTGATATCTACAAGAAGTTGGTGTTACATTGGAAGCTTTGTAGAAAGAATTCAAAGATGAAATCCTGCAAATTACGAACACTGTAACAATTACAATTATTAATTTAATTAAGCATTATTTTGTTTAATTTTACATCAATACTAATTTGAGATATGGCGAAAATTTTATTTAATATATTTGCAACCAGAAAGACGTGAAAAAACAAACGCTTATATGGTAGGTATTGTATGAATTGAAATTTAATATGAATACATTTTTATATCAAAAAGTAAATCGGTGGAAAATTATTTAGTTGACAACATATTTGGTGTCATTATAAGAAATATAGCAACATGAGCAATATGCATATTAACTCTAGTTTTATATACAATTTAGAACTATAATTACTATATAAATGACATAAATTTTATTACATTCAAATTCGCTAACATTTTTTTGACTGTAATATAATGTAAATAGCGTTTATAACAAAGTTGCACGCGAAATCATAGCACTAAATAAATATTAAATAAAGACGTAAAATGAATGCATTTGTAAAAATAGTGAATGTACACAGCTTTACTTTGGAATACGTGAAGACTACTGACATAATAATAAAGTCATTATTACTTTTCATATATCATGCGAGAAATGAGCATTGTGCCTTCAAAAAATGAATTATTTTTAAGACAAAAATCGAAAATTGTAGACGAGAGAAATGTGTTTGTAATAGATTTGAAATATAATAGTTAACTTGCACTTCCGAATGCAAATTAACTATTATATACTGCTTGCTGCCTTCTTACTTATCGTCTGCCATTAAAAGTTAAAGTAAGTATTTCTCAAAAAGTAAATCACTAGCAAATGAGAGGAAAAAGAAAGAAATTCAGCTATGATTAATTAGTATTAGTTTGTTTTTGGACTATTCAGAGTATATGAATACTATGAGCTAAATGCGCAGCATCATCTATGCTTCGGAATTTACCATCTGCACTGCAATCAATAAAGTATGCAAATATGCATAATTAATGAGGAAGGCAGCAAAAACTGACAAACATTATCTTCACAAAAAAAAATTTCTTTAAATACTAATACATTTACTATTAAGATTATTGTTGAAAAAATAAAATAAAATAAAATGGTTTTTTCCTCTGCTGAATCTATTTATTTTATTTATTATTATTCGTGTTGAGAAAAGTAATGCCTCAGACATCTGCTTCAATGCCAATTTTAATAATGCATCTTTGCATACATCGTATATCTCTACTTTGAACTTTCAAATAAAAAATAATTAAAGTATAAGTGTTTTTTGACGTAAAAATTGATCATAAAAAAGTCCGATCAATTTTTACGTCAAAAAAATTGATCGAATAAATTATAAATAAAAAAGAATTAAACTTTCAAAAAGTCATTTTTTATCATTCTGAACAAACAAATTAATATTAATATTAACAACTGCTTGAAATAATAGAACAGCAGTGTTATTTTGCATTTACGCGCTGAAAAATAAAGCAAAAATTGTGCAAAATTCAAATTTGCTACTTACGGTACTTTATTACAAGTATTTTCAGGCGACTTATTTTAATAAGCGAATTCAATTAAAAATTATGCAAAATATTCCATAAATTTTGATAATTCATTGTTTATTAAAGTACTCTGCTTGTTTATTACTTAATCTTCTGCTGCAATATAACTATTAAATGATATTTTCATATTTATATGTCTTCAATGAAACACGTGAAGAGTATACAAAGCTGACATACTTCAGTTTGATAAGAAACTTTTATTTCAAGAAATATACCAGTGAATATTTGTCTGCCAGTCAACGTCATTTACGTCATTAAAATGAGGACGTTATTTATGTAAAACTGCGGAACAGAAATAAAATGCAAACTCATGCAAGCAAATCACATACGTCTAGTACACTAACAACAAATGCAGTACTATAATTTTGTCAAAATATACGTTTTCAACCATTTCACGAATTAAAATTTCTTAAAGTTTGCATTAGTAAGTTTTATCACGTGACATTTACGCGAGAACAGTTTAATCTTTCAATTATCGTATACTTGTGAACTAAGTGACATTTACTTGACAATCAAAATTTGTTATGCAAAGAATTACCAACACTTACAAATCATAACTTGTACTTCCTGCCAAAAATAACAAAAGTAAATAAGCTATTTACTAGAATTTTATTTTTTTGCTTGTTTCTAGCACAAACTTTAGAAAGCATGAAATAATCCTCAAATTCAAAAAATTGTTATCGGAAAAATCACTTTGTCTTGCAGATTATTTTCATATTTTTCTTATAATATGAAACTTATTTATAGTATCAAATATATGCCAATAATAATAATAACAATAATAATAATAATATAAATAATAATAATAGAATTTCAAGAAAGTAATTTAAAAAGACTTGATTTTGACTGAATTTTTTGTTAGTAAATAAAAAATTATAAGCAAGTAGTCAAAAGTAAAATAGGCAAACGGATAGAACTTTAGCTGCTGAGTGTTAGTTACTTATACTATAATTCTTCTTTTTAGTCGTCCTTTAATTAAAAATAAAATTATCATATTGATTTCAAATATTTTTTCATTTAAAATTATCTTCTTTCAAATTTTTTTGTAAAGATAATACTAAGCCAGCTGCCAACCAATAATATGTTCAAAATTTAAATTACACTATCAAAGTTTCTCATTTAACATAAATTAAAAATATCTTTAAAATGACGTAAATGAAATATTGACGAGGCGATGATTGTTTTTTTAACAATATATATTGTTGAAAATGTATTAATGGAATTTGTGATGCCATGCATTTTGAAAATGAGTGCTTAAAAGGTAAGTAAATAGATTAATTAATATAGACTACGAGGATAAAGTTAGTCTAAGTAGTTGGTCTAATTCACATTTCACTTATTCTGCAGGCATCTTGGACTGTAATAATAGAAATGAATTAATTAGTCTTGTCTTCCAGATGCTACTTTGTTTTCGATAATAATGCATACATTACTTAGTACTTCGATTTTATAAGAGAAGCTAGCTTGCATGTCCCATCAAGAATATACTCAAATACTAAAGATTCATTTGTTGTAATCAGTTCTCACTTGTTTTAAGTCATTGCAAAATTAATTCACCTCAACAGTATGCAATTTATAGCTTATTAGGTTAATTACCTTAGCTTCAAGTCAAATCAATACTTATTCACATAATGATTAGCAATTATGTAAGTAAAATAATTGTGTATGATTATTTTTAAAGTGAAAAAAGATAAATTAATATTTATTACAACTTAAGATGCATAAATTCAAAAATTTATCTAAGGCGATTTTTAATTTATTGCAAGCTGAAAAATATGTCAATTTTTTATACTGTTTTTTGCAAATATTTACATCAACTTTGCACATTTTATTGGAAATGTTTTTCAGACAAACTTCTAGTAGAAACTGCTCTTTGCAAGTGATAGAAAGAATAACAAATATTCAAATAAAAATGTAATCAAATTTAAATCAAATTCAAATTATGAGCCAAAAGGCAATAAATAATAACCATAATGTTAACAACGTCACTGAATGAATGCGAAGGATTGAGAGCAAAATGCAGAAAGTGTTGAGGTGGAATGGGGTGAAGGATGGAGTTGATGTTAATGTTAACACAGCTCTACATGGATGCAACACAAAAAGTAATTTGCACCATATCATTTGTGTAGTATTAAAGTAATTCTATGCAGTTGAGTGAAAGTAATAAATATGACTCTTCCTTGCACCAACTGATTAAAGTTTTACAAGAAAATAAATAAAGAACAGTTATTTCAAACATCGTTCATCGAACGATACATAGATACATAGATAGAGAGATAGATAGATAGATGAATAGATAGATAGATAGATAGATAGATAGATAGATAGATAGATGGACAGATGAATAGATAGATACTTGTATACATACACAAATATACATAGAGACTGCTGAGTGAAGTAGTTAGAAAACTAATTCGATAATATTAATAAAAAATGAAGAAAGTGAATAATAATGAAAATACGTTGAGAGTGGACTGAAATATTAAGTTATGCTCAATTGTAAACAATTATCAGACATGAAGGCAATTGAAACACTTGCCACTCTTGTCAATATTTATAACCGATCATCCACAAACGTAGTCTAAAACAGCACAGCGAACAAAAATGACTCGTACGTACACGTCATTTTCAATTTCATTTTAAGTACACCCTAGACTTGGCTTCTCGTTTGAATGCTTCTCACAACAATGTATACTAATTTCAGTTGCTTACACAGTGCTAGAAAATGAAGTATACATACATAAATACGCAAATACCAACGTAAATTATTACATCTAATCAATGTAAAATCAAGCAGTGGTTGCATGAAAGAGTAACAAAAGCAGTACTTTTTACAGTTCACGAAGAAAACAAACTGTGCAATGAATTAGAATGAATTGGAAGAGTAGAGTGAGTCAGTCATCTGAAAATGACTTCATTTGAGTCACTCACTTACTTACTTATATGCGAGTCAGCTAGAGTAGACAATGCTGAGCAGCAGAATGTTCACCTCAGGAAAACTGATATTGCACAGTGAACATTTAAATTTTCAGATAGTGCGCATCTTTACGAAAATTATGAATATGCATATTTATGCAAGCGTTTATTGCAACTCATTTTTTATCTATTGTGATGGAAGCGAGCAATAAAAGAACTGCTTTATCAGTGTCTGTTTCTCTTTTTTCGCTGCACTCTTTTCGTATCTTCTTGTGTCAGCATTATTTGTGTCACACATATAAAACCCACCCGTTGCTTAGTATAAATGTATAATATGGTCCTAGTTGCAGCAGCTCATAAACTTACCTGGCTGGGAGGTTCTCGTGATCACGAAGGCGGGACCTTCATGGTGAGGCTAGGCCATTGCACTTCGGGCCGTGCTGACCCGTGTGGCTACCCCGAGTTGGGGTCAGCCAACAGCAAAATTTTTGCGTTTGGGGACAGCGTTCGCGCTACCCCGCACTAGGATGGATCAAACAGAAGCAGGGTTAGGTGGTATAGCTTGACACCGGTTATAGTGGTTAAGAGGTGTCGTGCGTATCGCTACTGCATTTTGTACTGACTATGTGCGATTGCACTTGGGACCAAATAGTTATTAATGTCGCTACGCTACCCTTACAAATAAGTTGCTTAGATGCGGGCGGAAATCAGCATTGAATAAAAAGCACATCATATACATATGCCAGCAGTTCATTCAGAATCAGCTACAGTGGATGATTCATTCTCACAATTTAAAGAAAAACACTGTACAAAGCATGAAATAACAATTAATTAACTAATATAAAATAAACTAATCGCTAGCGCTGTTGGAAGGAAACTGAGGATATATCATCTCCTCTCCAGTTAATTAATTAATTAATGAAAAGGAGAGTCTAACCATGTAATTAATGTGTATAAAGATTGCTTCACACGCAGAATGGTCTAGAACAAGCTTCACTTTCATGCTCGTTTACACCCGCACACATACACAATCACAAGTATACTGCGTAATCCTCGAAGCCGTACTCATACTGACCTCAACACTAAACGTGCAGCTCGCATCTATTCCATATAATAGTACTTGAGTTGCCATTCTGCGCACATAAGTAAATTCAATTTCATTTATTGTGACACAAATCAGTTTCAAGACAACACAGTCCCTTGTATTTATAACTGCATCCATCACTTCAATCCAACACCAAACGCGAAGGGAAGCGCTGATATAGCTTGTAGCAGTCTATCCTACAGCATGATGTAATTGCCATCTACGTCTACGTACGTGTAACTTTCTCGAAAACTCATCAAATATTAGGCATATTTACGCCAGACTGTACCTTGTATATACTACCATCATTCCAGATGTCATACCACCACAGCACCACTGATTACAGGGAAGCGCGAACGCTTTCCCCAAACGCAAAAATTAAGCTGCTGGCCAATCCCGACTTGGGATTGCCACACGGGTCAGCCTGACCAGAAGTGCAATGGCCCGGCCTCACCATGGAGGTCCCGCCTTCTTGATCGCGAGATTCCTCTCAGCAAGGTTAGTTTACGTATTGACGTCAGCACAAATTTACTTCCTAAAAGCAATAAACTTTGAGTGGGTTTTAATTTACAATTGTAGAAACCGCCCTTCATGAATGCTATTCTTCTCCACATTTTTCGTGCTATTTTCTACCCACGCTCCATCCATCGTTTTCTTTTCCCACACAATGTTCATAATAAATTTAGCTGCATTTAAATAAAAGAATATCAATATGCAAATTTACACCAAATCTACATTTGATAGTTCATGCAGATTTACATAAATATATTGATACCAATGCTATTTCTACCATACTATACACCGTGGTTTTTGTAAATTTTACAAAATTAGCATTAGTAACTATATTACTAATGAAGAAATTTGATTACAACATTATATTAAAATAAAGTAATATACGGGTAAAAGTAGCTAATATTTCTGTTTAATTACTTATCTCTACTCTAACATCAGTTAAGATTTCAGTTAGATTCTCGGACAATTATTTAAATAAGTTTATAATTACTTTAATAACTGCAATTGAAGTAAATAAGTTTGAAATAGTTATAGAACGGTTGAAAGAAGCAGTAGTTCATATAAAATTAGTTTTATTTTTAAATATAAGACAGGAAAATCCGAAGAACTTATCTACATGACATATCATTATTATCACTACTTCAAGCCCTATTTTCTTTTTCATTATTACTTTACCAACTATACTAACCATTGCAATAATTCCAGAAGGCGTTAAAGTCATATAATTTCTTTAATAATGAACGTAAAATAGTAGCGATAAAGAGTTCGTAAGTTTGAAATCCTGAAAAGTGTTGATTAATAATTCATTTTGTCCATAAAATGAATAAATAAAAATAGTAAAACTAAAAAATGAATTCACACAGAATTTGAATAGCCAGTTTTCAGTAGCAAATAAAATGCAGGCAAATGCTTTCATGAAATTACACACATACACCTAATTTCTACAATAGTCACTAGAACCATGAAAAAATCATTTCTTTGATTCAAAAAATTTTTCGCGTTACAAGGAATAAAGATCCTGCAGTTTTAAACTTATGATCTTTCAACCTTAAATTCTTCTAAGCTAAGGACTTATCATTTAGTCGAAATGAAATTAATACATTCATACCAGTGAAAAAAAATTGCAGACACAATTTATTTTCACTTAAACATTTACCTTTCTCATAAATAGAATACGCTTATTACTATAAAAATGCTTAACCACTTTCTTTTATTTTTAAGCGCACTGTTTTTGACTGTGAAATGAAGTGAAAGTAGAATATACAGAGAAAGAGTGCGCAACGTATTGCAGACATATTTCATTCTTCATCTTCGTCGTTACTTTTAAGCTGTAATTACTTGACCGCGAGTTAGAAAGATCGAAAGACAAGATCCAAGTTTGCATGATTTATTCTTCAATAACAATATTTAAACGATAATTTAAGGGTGAGGAAAACTAACAAATTAATGAATGCATCTCAACGATAGGACAGTCGAAATCCGATTTCGAGTACAATTCTTTTTGGATCGACTTTGGATGAAAAGAAACGAAGAGAAACGAGACCGAACTGAGAAAAGCTGAAGTATGTATGGAATCGCATTGTACTTTAAAAGATTTCTCTGAATATCCGCTCTGCTTCGTGATTTCATACTTTCACGCTAATCCTGTTCTGCACTATATTTTTGGTTATTTTTAAATTAAAAATTTCATGACTCAAGTTACATCTTAAACATAAAAATAATACTTGAGAAAACTTTCAGCTTTGAATTTTTCACATTTTGAAAACTTTTTCATACTGCTTACAAAATTAAACTAACCGAACAACTAACCACTGCAAAAAATCGCAAACTTTCCCACAGGAAGAGAATCAGCAGCGACAGACCTACCTAATTACATTACCAAGGTGCTAATTTTAAAGTAATTATTTTAATAGTTTGCTCCTTGCCCACCCCTTTTATCAGGCAAAAAAAGAGAATTCTAATGTACTTCAGCATTAAGCAACAATATAATCCACGCTAACAAAATGGTTATCGTTAAGTGATTTAAATAAATCAAAAATGTGCATTAAATCCAAGCTACAATGGTGAAAATCGATGAGTAAACTAACGCACAATGTTTTCGATTGGAACATTTTTTTTTCGCATGAACACTGAAAATGGAAAGCTTCAACATATTACAAGTGAAAATTTATCAAACTTAAGATCACTGTTATGAACGATCAGCTATCGATAGATATAGTGCATCACAAACAAAAATGTTTCAAAGCATTATACCAATAACTTTTTGTTGATAAAATTTTGAGTGCAGAATATATAAAAACAAGACTGCTATGATATTCAGAATATAACAAATATTAAATAGCCTTGATATTCCTAAATATAATAGAAGCCAACAATAACCAATTTTAGTCCCTTAATTTGAATGCAAAAAATCGCAACAGTGTCTGCATATCATTCATCCAGTGCACTGATTATTCGAATACGAGCTTTTTTAGAAATATGTGTTGCCACATTTAGCAGTGTTATAATTTGATTTGCTGTGTATTCCTGAAAAAACCTCAAGAGGCAAAGATTAAAATCTGGGAACACAAACAGATCACATTTCTTTTGTTACTAGCATATTATGACGCACCAGAAAAAATAAAACAGAAATCGTATTTTTTGAAAGCAACTTTCTACAAATAGAAAATATAATATAATGTTTTTCCAGAAGGAAGCAAAGGAAAAACATATTTTATTCAAAACGAAATATATTTCTCAAGAGGCAATATAGAACTTCCAATTCGGTTAAGATTTCGAAATATAAAGTCACAAATGAGACTCTCACATTATGCTGTTGGACCCAAGATTCCATTGAACTTTCAGGTAAATAATAAGCTTTTATATAATTTTCAACATAAGACTTGTGTGGAATAGCCATAAAATCAACAAACTGTTCCAGTTTCGCAAGCAGTTGTTGAAAATCAAGTTGCATTAAAGCCCGCCCTTCATTCGAACATTTCTTTCCAAATTCACCATAACTAAAAAAATAACTCAATAGAGATTTGACCAAACCAGACAAATTATTTTCAAAGTTTTTTTATGCTGTTTTCAAAAGAGAAAACTCATTTCATTCATAGCTTTATGATTAGAAAATTAAGATATCTCGTGTAAATCAACTAGGAATGGACAATAATTAGAGCTATGCAATATGATTCATTAGAATCAAGCAAAAAAAACGTACCCCTTAACAAGTACTCTAAATATACAGAAAATAAGTACATTCCAAAACGTTTTCTGAATTCCTTTCGTAACTGGTATTTGTTCTGCAACTTCTGAGATCAAGAGATTTATTTTCGTAAGTTCCTGAAATTGAATATTCTAGCATGATAAATAATTTTATTGTAATATACATGCAAGTTAAATTATTTCAGGGAACTAAAGAAGAAGAACACGGGTTTTAAGTGGCGTGATGAATGAAAATAGGCACAATGAATCCAAAATAAATGTAACAAAAGATAAATACGTGAAAAAAATATTATTCTGTCCTTAAATCTCTCTTTCCAATTAAATCAAATGTAACCGATACCAGAAAATTATGTATCAGCAGTATTAACCAGGAATCAAAACTAGAAAAAAGCGAACTTTTATTATACTATCAACATAAGTACTGTGCTGTGATTGAAGTTCATCAATATCCCACTTTGTTGTTGCTATTTCATTCACAAGACGATCATAATTGATTAAACGGCTTATTCCAGAGCTATACATGTACTTTCGCATTTCAGGAATGACAACGAGAATCTGAATAAACTAAGTTTATATTTGACGAGAGATTCAAGTAGTTGATAATCTTTTAGTTTGAATAATAGATTATATTCATGAATAACCTCGGTGTAATATTTCTCGATTATTTCACTGTCGTTGTCACTAACCATTGATTCGATAACTGGACGAATAAGATCAAGTTGTTTGGAGATAAAATTCCTTAAAACCAAAAGAAAGATGCGGCATTCACACAAACAATAAAACTAGACATAACACTTACACTGACTCTGCACCAATGATTCGTTCACGTAATGCATAGCTCGGCGGCAAATTAAGCTGAACTGCTTGTGACAACACACATGGGAAATATTTACATTTCTAAAATAAATCTAACATAAACATATGAAGCATAAAATAATTTTTTTGCAACACTAAATGATCCATCATTTATTAGAGATCTTCTAGTTTTATTGGTCATCACAGTACGAAAGGTCATTAAAAGTAACGGATATAGAAGTCATTGAAATAACGGAGATCGAAGGAACATAACGAAAGCAAAAAAAAATCGAAGTTTTCGAATACATGGCAGTCTCTACGAAAGTATATTTACGAAACAACACTATATTATGATCACAAAATATATCGATAAAGTAGATATTAACTTACTCCTGCTCCTTTAGACAGAGAATCACTGAATAAATCATTTTTTAAATTATCCATAACATTTTTCAAATTTGAAGAAAGAAATGAGTCGGCAATATTATGAGCATCTGATGATAAAAATAAGTGCACCTGAAAAGGCTTAGTAAATATTAACTGGATATCTGATTCATTTTAAAAGGGCGAATAAACATGGGAGGAATATTACCGTCAAAAAGAAGTAACTGCAAAGTTCGAAAATGCCAGCCACACTCTCGAAAGCAACTGACTGGAGCATATGAGTCATCCGAATATATTTTCCTAAACACAATTCCAGATATTACGAATTATCATGTCTAGAAAAAGGATCAAAATTTTAAAAAAAAGGCCTTATATAAAGATATCAAAGTTCAATCGTGGAGGAAATTTGGAGACGAAGAAGACAAACCGATAAAGCGTAACAGATTCAATGACGTATTACAAAGGACTGGAACTAGTCGCGAGAAGCTACCACCTGCATCATATCTATAAATATGAATTTGGAATTCGAAAGCTCACAATAATATTTATTCCAAGAAAATAAAAAATGCAAAGTATTAATACAACAGCTGATCATCGCTGAGAAAGAGTTTCAAGTTGTTTTTCTCGTAGGATGAAATTCAGAGTAGATTATTAGTCTTAGCTAATTACTGTCAGCGATCATGCATTTCATTTGGAATTAACTTTAAATAATTACTTTTTGCTGAGCAGAGTTACTGGTTTTGAAAGTCTCTGATATGTGATAAAGTCAAAGTATTTACCCATTATTTTCGTCACTATAATTGACATCATCGTTCGCAATCGCTTCAATACTAATGCATGGATCCTGAGAAATCTTTCAAGTTTGAAACCAATATACAAAATTCAAAACCACTATACTGCTAATGAGTTCATGATTTTTGTAATATAAAAAAATACATCAAACTCACTGTAACACAAAGCTCATCATTGACAGTTTCTTTCATAAAAGGATTCAAATCAGTTGGTTGAAGAAACTGAAAATCCAAAGATTCCCCCAACTCTGGATCAGTTTCAGTATGTAGAACAGGAACGAATTTACCTCCACATTTACCTGATCCTTTTAAAAAACTGAATTCCTAAACTTAAAACACATTAAATTTTGAAAACATAATTGTTGGATTTAATAGCTTTTTAAAACTATATATTTGCAGAGTACTTATTAATAAATACAGAACTGACCAGTTTGACATTTCAATGAATACTATTTTTACCATCGAATTTATCCTAACTATATGGACAGAACACAACCAGTGAGAGTCAACGTGTTTTTAACTTCGATATTAATTGATTAATAAACAATCTCACTTGCAAATCGAACAAAGTGAATTGTAGAGGTACTGGACATAAAGCAAAAGCTTCATTTTCTAGGAACATGCGCAATTCATCCATACGTTCCTGATGGAATCTAGAATAAATCAATTATAAATGTCAAATTCAGCGATCAAGCATAAACATACCTTTTGAAATATTGATGACTTTGTTTTTCCAATAAAACTGAGACTTCCAAGCATGCATTGCCAAAGTAAGTTCTACCAAACTTCTTAAACCTGCAAATTTAACACTGAAAACACAATATCATCTTGTAAGCAAAATTTTAATGTGAAAGCATTCAAAGATAAAATTAAATGAAGCTGTGCTTGAGATTCAAATAGTAAAACAAAAAACAAAGAAGAAAAATAACCAGTTCGACATTTCAATAATATCCAAGAATTGGTCAATTTTTAAAAGCGGCAGATCCTGACAGCACAGCAATGTGTTAAATTTAACTGATGCTGTTTTGAAAATAGAGTACAAAGAGTCAACGAGAATTTTCCGAATTACTCCAACATTTTCTGTGAAAGGACAAAGTTAATTAAAGAAAATGATTCTTTAGACAGCTGCAACCTCAATAGTAAATTCAAACAGTAACTAAACATTATTTCCTTAAGAAAATTTATCACTAGTGACAATATGTAATAAATTTACCATATTCTTCATGCGTACAAACTGATCTTTCATCTTCATCCACATGGAACAATATGATGGCATGATATGTGAACAAAACCTTGCAAAGAACGAAACCTAATTCTCTCACGCAATTCACTACGTGTTCTACGCTTACAGCCTGGAAAAGACTGTTGGAAACACAACGTAATAACTTTTTTATACATTACAATCAGCGGATAGTTTAAAAGAAACCTCACAAAGTTGCTCGTAGGACAACTCTTCAACTTTAGCCTCAACCTTATTTGGAAGAATATTGTCGATAATGACTCTTCTAGCAGAACTTTCTAAAGTTGCCCGAGTAAAACCAACGATTTTCATACCACAGTCCTATAAACTAGCTGGTATGAAATAAAAATAGAAATGATATTTCAGACATATTAGCTACTTGAATCATGTAAATAGAAGATATTGTACTAAGTGCTTTTACAAAATGGCTATTTTGTTATCTTTATCATTTTAAGTCATCAAAAAATTACTAAACTTCATAAAACTTTATTCTTCATTGATAAAAAAATTAATTGAACTACCTCGATAATATTCAACATTTTATAAGCAGCGTAAATTACTGCATAGCGGTCAACATCAAATAAAACTGTCATGGATGCCAGACAATTATCCAAATTCATTTCGATATCTTCTAATGCTTCGTCTAACTTTGTAGATAATTCACTGCAAACAATTTTCAACCAGTGCGATAAACAGCAGTTAAAAAACATGCTAACATTTTCTAAGAAAAAAAAACGTGAGATTTGGTTCCAGGAAAATTTTGACTAAATGAAGTTTCATTAAATTTACCTATCACCCATATTCAGTGTACTAATGTGCTTCGATGATTCAAATCCTTGGGGTAAAGAAAATTCAAGATACAATTTTAACGCTCCATGTCAGAATACAAAATTCCACAATATCTTCACAGTACAATGTGCTTAGAGAATAGATTTTAAAAGTATATATAACTATTTTTAAATCTTAACGGAAAAGAAAGCCATGTGTCTGAGTCAATATTTTTTTTCTGTTTTAAAGATGAAAATGAAATTGCCTGATGCAGTTAAAGTGGCGAAAAGTTAGTGCAGCCTTCTTTGCTTCCCGACATATTGTAATAGCTGCAGGAAAATTCTCTTCCTAAAATATAATAGTTTACTTATTGCATACACTGATAAAAAAGAATTACTGTTTTTTTTATTATCTTGACTATCCTGCCAGCATTTGGCTTCAACATTTCTCTCTCCATAACTTGCAATTGTGTAAAAAAAATAACCTCAATAAAGTCCTTAATTTGAAACTGAACTTCATACAAAGTTTTGATGGCTTCTAAGGATGACAGCATCTTTTTCAAAAATACTCGATTTATATAATTTGCAATTATTTTCAAACCATTCTCGTTTTCAAGTTTGGCATGACCAAGTTTGCTGCAATAAATACTTGAAAGACTTTACTGATACGTGATCTGGAATAATCAAACTAAAGTCTTCTTGAAAGAAAACCTAATATATAATATATATTCGGAAACAAGTCAAAATCTTTTTAAATTCTGGCTTTGACGGAACAAATGTAATTTTGAACAATTCAATTTTAGTAATAATGTAAAAATGACTTCATGTTTTTTAAGTGGAACATGAAGAAACTTTAGGAATGTAGATCTAAATTTTAGATACAGAAATTTATTTATATGAAGACATATTTAAAATGAAGGCATATACTGAAGCAATAATTTCATGAATTTTAGCAAAATTAACCTTCTCATGTCTTGAATTATCGACAGAATATCACCCAAATTTTCTCTGATTTCACCGATATCTTTTAATTGAGTTGAATATGATGGTGAGTTTTGCATAATCATAGCTGAGATTCGCTTTGAAATGACTTGCAGTTGCTGCTTGAGTTTTTCCATTTCTCCACTTATATCTTCAGGCAAAAGATCAGTATCCATGATTTTCTAAACGATGACAATTATATAAAACAAATTTTAAAAATCTTGATTCGAATGTCCAAGAATTTATACTTTCAGTTCATAATTTGTTGCGTCAAATCCTTCATCAGTGAAATATGCCGCTTCAACACTTTCCATTATTACTCCTTCTTTAATTGGATCCGTAACGGGTAAGGCACGAGTTTGCAACTAAAAATTGTTCTGAGAAAAAAATAAATGCAAACAATCTCGAATTTATAGAATTAAGAAGTGAAAGAGAAAACACACAGTGGTAGATTTGACTGATCCTATACTAGAATAATCCCGTACAACGGTAACATTATCCACTGAATCCATCTAAAAATAGAGATTGTTTAAAGAGAAGTACACTGCCTTTTTTAATCATAAATATAATATGACAGAAAGTTTCAAACATAAAAAAGCTAGGCTCATAAGAATTCGATTTTATTCCATACATACATGTCTAATATATTCATCCAAAAAAATATCAAAATAAATACATAGAATTGACAGTACTATATGGTAGAAAAAAAAAATAGCGGAAAAATATTATATTCCTTCAACATATTATCAAAAACCTTTCTTATGTCCTTATGTCTGAAGTCTAAAAGTGCTAAAATATCAAATTAATCTTTGAAGAACTTACATCAGTTACAACGACTCCAGTCTCATCATTTTCAGTACTTTGTGCTGATTTCATTCTTTTCATCTTGCTTTTCAAAATCTTCAATTTAGAATGAATAATACAACAATTAATAACTTTGATGATTATCTTGTATTTGAACTGAGACAATTTGGCTATAAATTTATAACTTTTATACAAACTTCAAACGATACAAGAAAATAATTAAATTATGTGTCAAATTCACACTTCAGTAAAAACCTGGACAACATTAATATTTTCCAAATAAGGTAATAAATAACTCTAAAACATACAATTCTGACATATAAAATAAGCAGTAATAATAAATAAGTTAAAAACCGAATAGAAGCTATGACAAGCATGTAATAAATATAAACGAAATAAATTTCTTATTGACCTCTGTCTTTATATTTATAGCATGTAAGTGGTGATAATAGTGAGTGATGAGCTTGAATATATTGCAAATATGCTCTTAACAGTGAGCTTTTACAGTAATTCAAACAATTTACACATCTAAGTACAATATTCTTAATACAGAGAATACGTCCATCAATGCATTCTGTAGACTTCGATTCAGTCCATCTGCATTGGTAATCAGTGGAAAATTTCAGCAAATACATAGATTGAAAATTGTAGGACGTTAGATGCCATTCGGAATCTTAAATAAATGAATACTGAGAAATACTTTCAAACTTAATTGCGTTGTTCAATTTTATTAAACTTTTAGTTTCACTTGACAAACTCTTTTATTGATTTATTTTTCATTAAATAAATAAAGGAAAAGTAATACCCATACACATACCTTTCCTCAACCTCTAATTAATGAATGGAAATAAATTAATGAACCTTAATATTAAGTATTACCCAATTTCTACTCCACAATTAATTTAACGGCAAAAATTTTCATTGTTGCATAATATTGCATGCAACAGTTTTCAATAAGTTTTTTTTGAAGAATTTTGCCTTTAACTCATATTTTGATTGTAATGTTTGTTACTAATTTTGAAGGCGATAATAAATTGCTGAATCTTAATATTAAGTATTACCCAATTTCTTCTCCACAATTAATTTAACAGCAAAAAAGTTCATTGTTGCATAACTATTGCATGCAACAGTTTTTGATAAGTTTTTTTAAAGAATTTTACCCTTAATTTATATTTTGATTTTGATGTTTGTTACAATTTTTGAAGGCTATTTGTGTTAGATAATAGTAAAACTAATTTCAGTAATTATTAATAATGGATGGATATAATAAAGAGAGTGAGGAGTATGGTGCTTGTCCACCACTTTTTCCTGAAGAATTGACGACTGGCGTGAAGGAAATGGTTGTGAAGGAAAACACGAAATTTGACAATATTTTCAATTATGTCAACAAAATTTTTGCGGTATCATTTTGTCAAAATGTTTCGCCTTTATTATTTTTCTAGTTGTACTAGGTATTAAGCTGGGATAACAACAGTTATTATTTTCATGATTTTGTTATCGGTAAGCGTTTCAAGGTAGATTTATGGTAATTTGTGCTGCAGCTAATTCTTGTTCAATATTTTTATCATCTTTTTAAATATATAATGAAGAAGAAAAGGATGACCTCCGTGAACAATTGTATTAGAAGCTCAAAAAATCTATTCAACATTTTTTTACGTTCTTTGCTGAATCTTTCATTTATTGAAGACATCAAGTAAAAATACGTGGAGTAAAAATATTTTTGGTTTTATTTAATTTTATCAAATTTCTTAAAAGTTTTCAGGATGCGGAATGTAGAAGAATAATTTTCAGCGGAATAGGGGAAGCATCTGCAAAATGTATTTCATGTGTTGAGGTGTACAAAAGGAATTATAAGGTGTTAATGAATTACAAGTCAAATATCTTTAATATTTTTTCTTTTGTACCTTATTAGCTTTATCTTTTTAATAAATTGTAAAGCAGCATGTACTTTTGGTTTCTGTTTATAATTGTTTCAAGAAAAAATGAATAAATAATAAAAAAAATAGCCAATGTTTGTATGCTTATGTTAAATCTGACTCTTTAAATCTTATATCTTGCACCAAAAGCTGGAATATTTCTCTATGACTACAGGATGGAAAGCTGTATCAGTGGAATAAAGTTGTATTTAGGCAGAGGACAGATACTTGGAAGCCAGTGGTGCCGAATATGCGTGTGTATGTATCCCTATTTTTAAGAGTTTATTTTATACATGTATATTGCAATTTTTATTTGTGGAGTATCTATCTAGTTTTGGGTATTAAACCAAATTTGACAATCTAGTTTTTTTTCTTTTAATAATTTGAAAAATATATTGGTCATTGTTTTTGCTGTTTCAGATTGCTAACATTTGTTGATCTTCCAAGTATTTATATTTTAATTTCGAAAGATCCTTTTCCAGAGCAATATATAAATGAAAGGTATAAAACTCGATCTTGAGAATTTCATCTTTATTTCAGATCTTTGCTGAAATACTCTCTGTCATTACCACTTTTTCTAGAATTGTTTCTAAAAATTGGAAAAAAAATTTCAGATTTTTAACATTTATTACATTAAAAAGGTTTATTACATTTTTTCAGCTGTCAAAGTTCTATCGAAATACGTCAAGCAGAACTTCTATCTCAGGATTCTAAGTCCGAAGTACTTCAGTTTAGGTCACGGCAGCGAAAACGTAAACTTTTGCGTCTTTTGGAGCCAAACAGATGGAATAGGCCACTTAAAAAAGTATCAAAATTGCTAAAGAAAGACTAGAAATTTTCAGTGTTTAGTGTTTAATTTTAGATATAATTTTTGAAGCTGTTGCATTTGCAAAAATTTGTTTTGTACTGGTCATGGTAAAGGTTATCCTGAAATGAAATAAATGGCGAATAATATTAGTTAGCTAACCTTCTGGTTGTTATGCTGCCATGTATTACAAATCATTGAGAGTAAAACTGTAAAACAATAATTCTATGAAAATATAATTTATTTCTATTTCCTACTGAATTCCGTATTATATTTTTGATGGCACTGCAGAAATATCGTTTTGTATATTTTATACAGTAAATTTTTTCTTCAAAGAAATGCTGTCTATTGTTATTTGTGAATTAAATTAATCTTGTGATTGCGTTCCATTCCAATAAATTTTTGCGATATTTGAATACAGAGGAAGGCGTTACGCGGTCAAAAGAGTTCTTGTAATTGTATTACGTTCTTGAAATCACTTTAGTATAAAATCTGTCCATAAATTTCCAGTCCTAGAATATTAATGCTGGATTTTTGATTAATATAAAGGCAGTAAATTGAGTGATATTATTTGCTTGCTCTTTCTATCTTGCTTTACTCGCAGAATATTGACTCTATAATTTTTGTTCTGCAGATTTATCTTCATATAAGTCTTGTGAATCTGTGGCTGTAATATGTGAATTAGAGAAAATGAGTTTTAGCGCATACAATAATTAGTCCTTGCTATTTGTTCACTTGATTTAATTCCCAGAATAACTTAGCTAGTCGTCATTTATCATTGAATATACTTAAAGTTTCGGAATTTTGAGTGAGCAAAAGAGAAGTATCAAATTAAAGTACAGAATTTCTGATGACATTTTGACTAGTTGTTAGAAGTAAACGTGTAGTAATATCAGTTGTAATTAAGTTGCTATTATATGTATATATATTTATGGGTTAATTCTATCTAAAACTTAGATGTATTATTGATTTTCTCATAGCAATCGAATGCAAAAATACACTTTGATGTGCTAACTAAGAGATTGTTGACATTGTGGAGCGTTTACAGCGCTGTTCAGGTCGTTATCATCACATATCACTCGTAAACTCTGATAATTGTAATGAAACGAAAAAATTGTTAGAAGCATCGATCAGTGCAAGCATGATGGATTATTATTCTTTTGCTGTATTTTTTTACAAATATGGAAAATAATTATGCATTTTCTATGCATCACCTGTGTTTCCATTGTATATCTTTAAAAATTGATTTTTATTTTTGTTATTTTAATAATTAATAAAAATTGAATAATTAATTTTCAAAAGCTGAGAAGTATAAAATTTTCAATTGCTGTTTTTTTTAAATTTACAATGCATTTTATTGCTTTAATCTTCTTATTTGTTTAATTTCATATCGCTTCTATTTGCTTCTTTTATTTTCAAAAGTAGTGTTATTTTGAGATAAAAAGTTTGAAAAAATTTGCAGCGAAGAAGTGAAAAAGTATTTTGAATAAAAATTGAATTTTCAGAAGAAAATTTGGGTTCTGAAATGAAATTAACTGCAAGGAAAGCTATTAATTGTAAGAGTTTTATCGGCTGAATAATACTCTAATTCATTATCATTTCCAGTTTTTTTTGCAAAGATAAAAATTTGAATAATTTTTTTGATGAAAAAATGCATAACTGACTTTTGGTACAGTAATTTGATAAGATAATTTGAGATGACAAATAATATTTTTATATAAATAATATCAGAATTTGAGGGCTGCAAGCAAATATTTCACTTTTTTGCGCAATTAATTCAATTAATCTTTCGTTGTCTGTGGCGGCAAATAAGTTTTTCCTTTTGATATGCAAATGCAGTAACGTTTTGGTTCAGTTCTATGAATGTTTACTAAGAAATCTTAAGCATCTGCGATAGCATAAAGTTTCTTGCCTCTCAGTTAAGTTTACTGCAGTTCAGATTAAAACATCATTCTCGACAGTGTTGACGCTAAGTCAGTAAAATCGATTTTTGTAATTTATAATGAGTGAAATGAACTGTACAAAGTGAACTGTACAAATTACGTCCACGTAAGATCATTTTTAATTGAGGGTAAATTTCTATCATCATGAATTTGCATAACTTCAAAATTATTACGAAAGAAAGAAGTATTCATTTTGTTATGAATAATCAAGTTACTGTCGTTGTATCAGATTTTTCAAGAGTTCAAACGTCTTACCAAGCTGATCACGTATGTTTACATATTACTCCGAGTAGATTATACTTATTTAATTGTGTAGCTTAGAAGCCAGATTTACTCATGCACACTCGTATCCCATTACTTATCTTCAATATTTAACATCCGTTATGTCATTACTTATTTCTTTTTTGATGATTCCGAAAATTTGCATAATTTTCTAGTAAATTATATCTTCTCTTTGAATAATGAAGTCAAGCATTTAGTTGATTATACATGACAGAAATGAATATAAAATTATTTGTTAGCAAAGGTCATACGCATATCATGGACTATTCTTATATAAATGATTGCTAGAAAATTCGCTAAGAGCAAAGTTCTCCTTTATACTTTGGGACAAAGTCTTGAGGTCAATCCCTTGTGAGGGTTATTCTGCTCATTTCCGTTTACGATACAAAGAAAAAGGTACAGTAGCACTTCCGGTGTGTACGAGAATACGGTTGGACTTTGGTTTGCAATGAAAAAACACATCCAAAATTATTCATTCTTTGTCTGATTTTTTGTTCCTCAAAAAAAAGAATGGGAGAATTGCATTTTTGGGTAATGCAGTAAAATATTACTGCTAAATATTTATATTCTTTTATGATAATTCCCTTTTATTACACCTATTTTATGCAATAAAGAAATTAGTTTCTTTATTTGACAGCACAGTATTATCTATTACTATTACTTTTACTCTTTGCATATTAGAGTATACTTTTATCGATCCAATTAGATCAAAGTTTAAGCAATCACAATTAGATCATCAAGATAATAAATTCGCTGAATGGATCATTACTTTATCTATCAAATTCAGTTAGTTAACTTCCAATTTGAATAGATCTTAATTAATTGTAGTAGATTGCTGCATAGTATTAATAATAATAATACACAGGTATGATACAAAATTTGATACTAATCAGCTATTCACTCATAGCTAAATAAATAAAATAAGCAAATAGAAAGCTTAAAATGTTTTTATTCTTCAAAAACAAACTTGAAAGCTTTAGTTTGCTTGAAGTCAACCAAAAAGATTTTGGGTAACTAAACTGACTTGAGTAAGCAACAGTTGACCCTATTTGGGGTTTAGATATATTTGACTATTAAATATTCGTTTTATTATAAAGTCATTAAATACATAAAAATGATAATCATTCGTTGTTAATTCGAGAATATTTATCGTCATTAAGCGATTTACAACTTCGCCATAAATACTGCAAACTGGTCGCGCACTGCATCACATATGAGATTTGATACTGATCGGCTATTCGCATTTATTCGAAATATCATAAATAATTTAGTCTTACACACTTCCTTATATCAATTATCCTTCTCACATGCATCAGTTTGCTTATAAATTTTATTAAGATTTTGCTAAAATTAATTATGAGTTAAAAATTTGACTGATAACTTGCATGAAATTTAAAACTGTATGAGATTTAATATAATCATGATTTAACTTTATACTTTTAATTTATTGTTTTATTTATTCTTATTGTTGTTATTATTATTATTATTATTATTAGCTATTATTTTTTTGTTTATACAACTGTTATTAATATTGTAAACAATAATAATAATTACTATCATTTATTATTTACTTACTACTATTATTGCTACTATTTATAATGTATTTATTAATAATAATATGCTTAATATTACTATTATTATTATTAATTAGACGGTATTTATCACTTCTGTATTATTATTACTTTGCAAATACTTTGAACTTTAAACTTTTAACCTTACATTTGTAGTTCATGAATCGTAACAAGAAAAAACTTGAAATTGAAGATTAAAAAAATGTAAAATGAATGAGCATTAATGAATTGGAGATAAGAGATTTTTCTGACCTAAGAAATCATTTAGCTTCCATTTACTTATTAATCCTTATTGATTTAATCTTTTTGATAATAATTTTGCTGCAAAATTTGTTAGCTACGTGAGTGCACACACATAAAGATGATTATCAGCAGTTAAAAGTATCATTCTCTAAAAATTTTCTCTTTGACATTTGAACTTTCATTTCTACCACAAATGACTTGTTAATATTTGCGCTTCGGATGTTTTTGAAGTAGTTAATTTGGAAATCTCGAGTTATATTTTGATTCTGACGTGTAAGTTTATTGCATTTTGAAAAGAATATAACTGAATAAATAAGATGCGCAGTCTTTCTTTGTTTTTTAAGTATTCGACGACTTTGTCATTTTCAAAATTTATTACAAACAATGCATTCTAGCAAATGCCAAAGTCATATGCAAAAAATAAATCCGTGAGTGCGTTTATAATCTATTTATAATGTTGCAATTTACGTCAAATGATACTTACACTTAATAATTTTCTCTCTATTAATATCTTTAATATTTAATAAAATCAAATAAAGGTTGGAGTAATGGAAAGGTCCATAAAATGAACTAATAAACATTGAAAGTGTTCACAGTTAAGTTTTTAATGCTTCACACAAATGCATGGCATATCAGTAAGTCTCAATTTGCATAATCTAATGATTGCTAAAGGATGATAAGACTGAGGCTATTAGATACAAATATTTTCATCTATAAACAAAATTGAAGGAGTAAATTTTTGATTATTTCACGAATTTTAAACGTGTAAAGAATATTATATCATGCTTTAAATAATTTAAATTCAAAAATATTATATAATTATTTTCATTTTATTATTATTATTATTATTAATATAATGTACAATGTTAATCTGAAGGAACTATTTTAAAAAATAAAGTTGTTACCACCGATAATTATTTCTAATTTTTGAATACAACAAATGTTCACATTCTTGACGAGATAATTTCACTAATTATATTTGATAATATAATAATTCTTAATTAGACTCACAATGCTGACTGCAAATTTTTTACAAATATTAAAATAAAGCTTTGAGTGTTTATTTTTAATTTATTTTACTTATTTTAGATTTGAATGCATTTTGTTGCCATGAGCATAACAAATGGTTGAAACATTGATAGTGATGAGAAGAGCGTCATTTGACGTACCTTTCGGATTTACAATGCGTCATATCAGTTTCCATCCCTCTAACGTAAGATATTACTTCAACAGCCGTTGTATCATTGTATTTTATTTTTAAATAAATTATGATTGAATTGAAAACTTGAAAATATTTGTAAAACAAATTTATGCGAACTTTTGTGGAATTTACTTTAATTTACTTTTGTTCAAACTTTAGTCATCAATAAGAAGAGGAAAAAATAGCAGCTAACTTACGCGTAAATTTGTTTGACAATATTACAATTTGAATCATTCCAAACGTCAAGCTGACAGCTAAATTTAAATTGAATGGACAATTAAAGGAAAGTTAAAACTGTTAAGTGTAAAGCAAATGCTACCGATTATCATATGTAAGATGGAAACTACAAAAGTTGTATAATAATTACAAAAGTACGGACTGTATGAAAAGGAACAAGTTTACTATACTCATCCTATGTGAAGGTAACGTGGAACATACGTGAGAGAACGGGTCTGCTCATCGACAATGCGTATAATAATCATTACACAATCATTTAAATAGTAAATTTAATCCAAAAAATGAATTTAATTAGTTCGGTCTCATTTCTCATTTTTTGATCAGTCATTTTTTTTGCTATCAGAATCAGAATTAATTGTTTTGACTTGTTATTTGCTTAAAAATTTTCAGCTTCAAAACTCTTTTCAGCAAAAAGTTAAGCTACAAATTGGTTTTGGTTTAACTAATTATTGAAAAAATATATGGCAACAATTTTAGGCTAAAGTTAAACTATTGGATAAGACAGAGTGATATTTGATGAAAATAAAACTAAATGTAATTCTTTTAGAATGAACCAGCAACAAAATATGATTCCAAGTCATGGTGCACATTAGCGGTTTTACGAGTTGAACCCAATGGTGTGGCTGCTAAAGCAGGTCTTCAAGTAGGTCAACGAATTATTGAACTAAATGGGTTATGCGTGACTCATTTCACATATCAGGAAATTTGCAAAATAACACAACGGTAATTCTGATACTTATTTTCATGTACATGATTTACTTAATTGAAATTTTACTACTGAAGTACAAACTTGAGTTAAGATCTAGTAAAGAGGATTGAAGAGAGAGTAAAAGTTAGCTGACCTTTGAAAAGGTCAATTGAATTTAAAACAGATCACCACCAGCAATTGAAATAGGTCATTTAAAAATTGAAACAGATTATTTAAAATCAAAACAGATCTTATAAATTTCAATTCCTCAAATGATAAAATTAGATTTAATTATTTACACTTTCAGCTAATTTTTTCTTGTGAACTTCTTTTCTACACGCCAGATGTAGAAAATTACTGTGTAAAGAACTCTCAAAGTTTGACCTTTCCGTTGCTCTAAAATTGTTGAATTGCAGAAAGTGTGAACAATTGGCAAACAACTGAGTAATTACAACGAATATTTTTGAATTTTTCATTTCGTCTAAGTCTAATAATTTGCAGTAAACATAAGCATAAAGTTAACAGTTGTAAAAATATATTAGCACAACTCAGATCAAATGTCGAGATAGATTCAGTTTACAATAATACTTTGTTTATTAAATTAACTTTATGGTCAGACTATTTTAAATTTAATCAATAATATTTTAATTAAATTAATAACTCATTGACTTTTCATTTTTTGATCAAATTTACTGCTATTATATGATAAATGATGAACTGTAAAACTCGAAATAAATAATTGATTGGCTGATTTGTGAACTGAAAAAAGTTTACGATATGACAGGGTGATTTTGAATAATTTTTATTATATATTAATAATAAGATAGCATAAATAAAGCAAAAATATGCAAATTATAGCAGAGAAAAAGAGAGAAAATAGTTATTTGGTTTGCTGTAAAGTGTTGTTGGATTGTTCTGAATTTATACATTCATATGTGTGTGTGTGTGTGTATGTGTGTGTACACGTGTGTACGACGTATGCTTCTGAACACAATTTAACTTTTATTTTGCAATTTTGCTTATTCAATTAATAGCTATTATTTTTATTTATTAGTATTATCGTTATTATTACTATCATTGTTTTCTAGAATTATTATTATTATTGTTAAAAAATATCTGACGATCGTTAGTTAGCAAAGCAATTAATTCAACATTTATGGATAAAGTTAATTATCACTTATTAGTTAGTTTATGGCAAATATTTTTGAACGAAATAAACAACTGCAATAATTAACAGTGGATTAATTTGTATCCTACACAGAAAGAGCATTCTTCTATTTCGTCTCTTGTTTTTTTCTTCTCTTACTTATTCACTTTTTCTCATGACCTATAACCCTTTTTCGTTAATTTTTCTCTGATCTACGTATGCGCTCAAAATCCATAGGTCAAGTATTGACACTAACTACCACTTTCATCAAATTTATTTTTCTTTTTGTTTCAACCGTAGACTGAGTTTTTTTCTCATAATTATGATAATAATAATCAATAATAATAATTATAATAAATTTATTTTTATTTGAAATTAAAAAGTATTAATAATCGAAATTTGATAATATTTCTAGCATGATTGTAGTAAATATTGTGAATGAAATTTTTTACAGTGTTTACGCTATTTCGAACCTTTTATGTAAATTTTATGCTCAATAATTTTGTAAAATTATTTGACAGTTTGCCAAATCTCATCAGTAACTTACTGATTTTAATTCATCAATTATTAAAAAAACAATGCCAAGCAAAAAGATTTTGTAATTTAGATGATTACAAAAAATGTCAAATCGTTTTCATTATTCGATATTATTAATAACTATGGAAGAATATTTGTTTTAGTAGTCTTTTTTATTGCTCAGTGAGTGATTAATTGAATATTTCATTTTTGTATTATCAATACTTTTTTATTTTTTTGTTGATTTTATTTCTGTTCAGCAGTACTACTTGTTATTTGTTTTATTAATACTTTTTTTGTTACTTAATAAATGATTGATTAGATATTTTATTCAGTTTTTTTTACTTTTCTGATAACTATCAACAATACGTCTTTTCGTCCTGGGGAAAAAAACTTGATTTTTAATAAAAGCAAATTGTACATCTTACGTCACTTACGTGAGAATAATTGGAAATGTTTTTATCATGAGTGAAGCGGTGACATCAGTAATAGTAGAATAACCCTGTTTCTGAAATAAATGACAAAGGTAATAATGTTTTCACTTTATCAGTGCCACGCATTTTTGCAAAGAGGTCAAGAATAAAAGACTGAGAGTGTTTGAATTTGCAGTGACCTGAACCATTTCAGTCTGATGATGACTTGTAATGTCTTAGTTGCAGAATGACTTGATCTGCTTCAGCTTGCAATAACCTCAATTATTCAGCTTCCACAATGATTTGAGTCCATTTTTAGTATTTCTTCTTGTTTAATTATATTTGACCTTGTGGAATTACTTCTTCATCAAATAACTCAACCTGTCCATGTTTAACAAAGACTTGGATTGACGAATTGAAAATTGCAGAAATGAACTCAGGTCAAAGGTTGAATCGAAGCAGTAAGCTGTACAAAAGGTATTAAAAGAACTTGAGTAAATCTGATAAAGTTATTTCAGTTATTTCTAGCAGTTTTAATAAGCAAATCATAAATACTAGAAATTGATCAATTCAAATTCAGTTAACAAATAGATAATTTATATTAATAGATGAGATTTCGCTGAATATTTATTGTCTGTTTTGATTGCTTTTTATTTTCATCAAATTTCTGACTAAAAAGTTTGTGATTCACTGAATTACATTATTGTCTCAGCGACTATTTTTGCTAATTTTAGTATTTACTAATAAGGCAAAGTCAAAAATTATTGGAATGTATTCACTACTTTACACTAATTACATTCGCTATGCAAATTATATTTTTCATTAATTAATAACAATTAAAAAAAAAGATTAAGACTAAACTTTTTGTGTGAAAATTTTTGCTAAAAATTATTATTTGTATATTTAGTGAAAAAAAAACATTAAAAATTCGTTTTGCCTTATCAGTTTATCGCTAATTGCTATTAAAATTAAGTTAATTACTTAAAAATTGCCAATTATTTATTATTTTAAATTCAGTAATTACTAAACAACATTTGCAAGTAAAAAATTTTCAAATATGAACAATTACAAAAGTGTCAAATAGCTGTCTTTCTTTAATATTATTAATAAATGTTAAAAAAGATTTATTGCATTAATAACTTATTTTCTGTGCAATTTACTCAGTTACTTTGGGAGTGAAAAGTGAAATTTACTTACTGTCAAAGTAATTTTGCACTATTTTCATTCCATATTATAGTGATTATTTATTATTATTTTTTTAAATCGAAGAATTATTTTCAAGCAAAAAAGTTAGCAAAATGAAGAAGCCAGAAAGATATACGGAAAGAATTCGGATGGAAAGATTGAAAAAACAAAAAACGAAATAGTCAAGAAATTAAATGTGTCGAATAAAAGTTTCAAGTTGTTACTGAATAATAATTCAGCACTTTTAAGTAAAGGAAAGTTTTGAATTATTATTAGACAAAAATATTTTTACTAGCAAAACTGAAATGAATTTTTGGACTTAAACGAATATAAAACTTAATATAATTAATTTAGTTTGAATTTGGCATTCATTACAAAAACTAACTTTATTCTCATTCAAAAAATTCATTTTATTTTTATTAAAAAAAAATTTGGCATCCTTAAAAAAATTTTTAAGTAAAAATTCCATTACTATTCTTGCAATATTTTTGTCGTAAGTATTATAAATTATCTCACACTATTATCAATTCTTATTAAATACTGTCTTTCTGTGTAGATCCGTTTCTTATTGATTGAGATCAATCAGTAATGAATCAAAATAAAAACGTTTTAGCAATTGCTATTTTTTGATATTATTATTTTAAATGGATAAAACTTGAAAATTTATTTTTTAAACTAATAACCAAAAGTGTTGAGAAAAAAGAAAATAAGGAAAATTTTTTTAGGAAATTATAATGTGTAATATTTTGCATTTTTTATTTTGGCAATTAAAAAATGAATTTTTTCTTCGAATTATTTTGATTTATGGGAAAAATTTTGAGAATTAATGTCATTTTGTTGTGTAATTCGAAGTAATATCAAAATGAATTCTTCGAAGTGATGTATTTACATATCAAACTTACTTAATGCATGTAATTAAATATCGAATTAAAATGTCTATCTCAAATGTAAGTATGACTTTTTAGTTACTTAAATATAAAATGTAAAATACTTACCTTAGTGTCACTTCTCGATTATTTTGCTTCTATTAAATAGACATTATTTATTTGTGTGCTAAGAATAAGTGCTTCAAAATTGTTCTATTTTTGTATGTTTTACTGATTGAATTTTGTTATTTCTAAGAAAGACCAAATATGATGTCTGTTGCTAAGCTTAGCTAAGAATTTATTCGGCTAGCGAATAACTAATCTTTTTTTGCTATTTAATCATTCATACTTTTCATTGAAATACATATATTAATCTATAATAATAGCTAAAAAATGATAAATTTTAAAAATTGCTTTTGCATAATTAATTAATTTAATAATAGAAAATTTTATTATTTTGATAGAATATTAGTATAAGTAACTATTTTCTATGCAGCAAAATCGTTATATAAATATGTTTGGAAAGTAGACAACTGTTGACAAGTTTTATGCTAAGCAATTTAGCAAATATATGACAGTGGTATTATCGGTCATAAGTTCTTGCACACTTTGATTATTACTTAATTATCATTGAAAGTTTTTGCGTTTATTAAATATTAGTAATTAATTATCGAACATTTGTAGGCATTAATTTGTTTCTCAAATAAACTAGCGTTCATTTATGGCATTTGTCATATTTGTTTGCTCTTTGAAACTGAATATAATATAAAAGCATTTGTGTGGCAGTGAAAAATTAAGCAAGCAAAAATTTATATTTTTATTTTGCATTATTTAATTTTTTGTCTATTTTTTTTGACTGAAAGTATAGTAGAAAGTATTCAGCAAGCGCTTATTTTTTTAAAAATTTCTGAAAAATCAAATTTTGATTAAAAAATTTTAATGTTTACTATTTATTTAAACCATAAATATAATAATAAAAGTTTTCATCGTTTTTTTATAAAATATAAAACAAATTTACTCATGATAATTTATTTACAAAGCATAGGCAAAAAAAATCTGTAAAAATTTATTTTTTAATTCACATCAATTGCTGACTGGAAATTTTACTCATTAATAAAACTGGATTAGTCTATTTGATGAATTTACTTATAGAGAAAAAATGTTGTTTCAACGTAAGTAATTTTTTTCACTTAATTCTATAATTACGTTTATAATTGAAAATCATTATTTTATAGTGAGTTAAAATTGGAAATAATGATTGTAAAGGAAATGCCAGTTAAAGTTCGATATTTTCACAATGATGACTCAACGTCATCATTATCTACGTTAACTGCTATCAAACGTAACGTATCTGGTAGTATTAACAACTGCAATATTCAACATTGTACTCATATCAAAAACTATCGATTTCAACCGTTGATGAGTACGGAAAATCAATGGAATAGACGTGAAAATTCAGCGTATTCGTCAGCTTTTTATTGCCATCAACCAATGGTGAGTAACTTGCAGTGAATAAATGAGTGAGTTAAGAAAAGTTTGAGATTTTACTCATTTGAATTAATTTTGCTAATCCAAAAAAGTAATAAAGCGATAATTTATTCTGTTAAATATATTTTTGTTTTTTTTCTTTTTTCGATGACATCATTTATTTCATTTTCGAAATTGATAGAAAAAGTATATGCAAATAATAATATTTATCACAATATTTCTGACGGTTTTCGATAATTGCTAGTGAAGGGTATGACAATATTAATAAATAACAATAGTGATAAATATTATTTGTTTATCATTTTTGATAATATGATTGATTATGAGATATTGGTAAATCAATTGTGATCATTAAGCAGTGATGATAGTGATAACAAATAATGATAATAATATTAATCTTAATACTAATAATATACTATTAATTAAAATAATAACTATCTTTGCAATAATCTTAATTTTTTACAAAAGTAACAATAGACCAAAAATTTGTAATCATTTTAACTAATGCTTATGACGCCAATCTTCTAAAACAATATGAATAATTACACTATGAATAATTACATTAGTAAAGAGCCCAAAAATACAAGTTTTATATTTTTCAATTTTTTATATATTATTGTAATTCATAAATTAGTTATGATTGTTTTTATTCGGATCAATTTTTTAAAGTTATTATTTTTTCGGATTTAATATATTTGTATCTTTCAGTAAAAAGAATAAGTAGCTTTATATTAGTTATGATGAATTTCTTGAACAAATTAAAGTCAATAAAACTTGCTAAATATGTTAATATTTTTCAAGTCTGAACTCTGTCAGTAAAGAGAAGAAGCTGAGCATATCTCAGCTTTGTGTATTTCAAAAATTAATCAAATTATTTAACATTTGCGCATTTCTTTGCGTGTTCAAATCATAATAAATTTGTCATAAATCGATCATAATTTTATTGCGAAAAACTGGTTTAGAATTGTACAAACATATATACACTTTTATACATTTACGTGTCGTGCGTGTGTGTGTGTGTGTGTGTGTGTGTGTATTGGCACGAAGTAAAGATGAAGTGATGTCAAGAAACGAGTTCAGATTTTAAAAGTTAGAAACGTTTCGTAGATATTGTTGTGTGGCAGATAAGATTAACAGATAACATTAATCTTTTATAATCTTTCTGTAAAACAAAGGCTTTGTTTTATTTGACATTAAATATTTAATACTTTATGATGTGTGATGCATGAAAATTATGCAAATTATATTCATTTGAATATGAAATTATCCTTTTATATATCATAATCTTCACCTGAAGAGGAAACAGTTATTAGCCAATATAGTTGTGGAAAAAAAACTGTAACTTTCATTTTAAAAAATTAAAGTAATTCCTTTTATTTACTTAGTATCGGTAAGAAATGATAGTGCAAAACATTTCTTCAATTTCTGTGATCAAAATATTACTATTATTATTATTATTATTATTTTGATTATTATTATTATTGTTATTGTTATTATTATTATCATTATTCAGTATAATTGATATGTCATTTTCATTCTAACTGCACTCAAAATAACTTTTAGTTATTTTCAACACATGAACTAAATATATAATTGTTATTGTTACTACTATTGACGTTAATAAACGCCTGATATTCAAAAATAAAACATTAACAGATAGTGCTAGATGCTGAGATTTTGTTTGCTACTATTAACGTAAGCAAATTTGCCTTAGATATATGTGCACTTTATCGTTTGTAAAATGTTTATTATTTTTAATGCAGCATTAATAGTTAAAGACAGCAAGAATAAAGATAAAACTAGATTGCTTTGCTTGTTTGCAATAGAAAATTTTCATAAAATTGAATTTCTAAAGTTTGTATAATACTAATTTTCTAATTTCATTTGTAGAGTGAGGTCAAATTTGCATAATACTTACAGATTTGTAAGTGAAAGTAAATAATTTTTACAGGATAAAAGGTATAATGTGCATGGAGCTTGTACTTATGGTAGTGGATTTGCTACCTCAGATGGGATTGCATCCATAAGCTCGCTCGATTCTTCATCTTTCAATTCTTTAGTTTGGTTTTAAGTTTAAATTCTTATTTTGATTTACTTTGAAAATGAAATCAGGAGAATTGTACTTGTAGAGTAAATCACGTCATGTAATGAATATAAATTTATATGATATGTTATCATATGTTATTTTTTATCGGTTAAAAAGCAAGCATTTGCTAGAAGATTGCTTTAAAAAAAATCTTGCTGTTACACAGCGTATTAATAAGTAAGCTTTGAAAGAAGTCATAATGGTTACTGTTATTGTAAAAAACTGTTTTTGAATACTTAATAAATTGAATAATCATTTTGACAAAAAAGTTTTATTGAGTAAACTGCCAAATAAATTACTAGAGTCTACTTAATTATGCTTAAATTAATTAATTATTTTTGAATCACTTATAAATATCATTCATAGCATTGACAATTGTAGTATTAAAATGAATTTTGTGTAATGTTTGTAAAATAAATTTGTAAAATATATGTAGTTAATTTGGGGAAGTGCTTGAAAAAGTATATAACAATACAGCAATATTGAATTTATCGAATTGTGCTTAATGATAAAGTCAAATTTAATTAATGATAAAATCAAATTTAATTAATTTTATCGTTGGTTTCAAGAATATGTCATTTTTAAATTTAAACTTTACATTTAAATCAATCAAAAGTTTCAGTCACTAAAACAGAGCACTCTCAATGCTAGAAGTAATGATCTCTCAGATGGCAGACAATATCGAAGTGAAAAATCACACATAAAGTAATTATTCATTTGTTTTCTTATTATTATCAAACAATCTCTTTTTTTTTAATTTATTTTTTAACTTTTTGAAAATTCCAAAAAATTAAGAAATTAGTTTTTTTTTTTTAAAAAATAAAGACAGATTATACAATTTGAAAAAGTTTTTTGAGATTATGCAAGCATAATTAATTAAAAAATAATAATTTTATAAGATTTATCCATTTTAGACCATACAGTTTTGGTGTTTGCCAACACATTGCTCAAAACAAACAACATTTTATGGAAAATAATCGAATTATTATTGCGCCAAGAATTATCAGTTATGGCAATCCATCAAAAAATGTTAGCAAAATTCCACTTGCTCGAACTCAAAGTGCAGTGCAAATTTCACAAGGAATAGCTTTATCATCATTTTCTGATGATAATTTGAACAATAATACAGTAACAACACAAATATTAGCAACTCAGCAGCCAGTTAAAAAATATTTGGTATAATCTTGCTATCAGTATAAATTTTAATCAGAAAACACCATCAATTTTTTTTTTACAAAAGATGTTATTACCGTAATCAAAAATTTTCAAAGGTTTTTTAATTTTTTTTAAATTTTAAAGTTTTTAAGTTACAAATATTTGCAAAATATTTGTAATTTTGACGAGCATTTAAATATTATTTTAAGGATAATTTGAATATAAAGTCGCATAGATCTACATTTGGTAGTGCTAATTCCTTAGAACCACTTGATATTCACGTACGTGTTTCATCAGCAAAAGAATTAAACAAGGAATCATCACTGCCATGCTGTTCAAATACGCCTTATTCTTCCTCCTTTGAACGAAAGGCATAATTTTTTAGAATTAACTCTATCAGCTGTTTTTCATTTTTGAGTATTTTATGATTTTTCAAATTGAAAATTTTTTCTAACGTCATAATTCAAATATATCAATCAAAAAATATGAGTATATGAAGTGGAATTTATTCTGACAAAAGATTTATGATAATTTGAATTTGCATTTACTTTATTTCAGTTGAAATAACTTTTACATTTATTAGAAATGAAATTTATGAAAATGATTATTATTTATATTTAAAGTTCTATGTGCACATGTTTTATTATAGTAAAATATATAAATACAATTAGATCAATTATGAATTTTACTGAAATTTACTTTGCTGAATAAGCATAGATATTGTATGAGAATTGTTTTTTGTGAAGAAATGTAAATTTTGTACAAATAATTAATTATTTGTATTGAGCAACAAGCTTTGCATTTAATCAGTACTCAATTAGATCAGACAGTGCGCAGATATATTTCATGTTAAATTACAAAAATTTGACAAATTATGAAAAATAAAGCAACCAATGATGAAGTCTAATCCTGACGTATGTTATGAATCTCAAGGAAATGTTGCAGATAAATATTCATCGATAAACTTTATGCTTTTCATTACTTGACCTAATTAAGTACTTATTTTACGTCTTGTATTTTTGTCAATTCTGATCAAGAGGCTAATTTTTTTAGTAATAGAGTTAAGATATTTACTCATTAAAGTTGAATATAGAACTAGTTTCTTGCTGCTTGAAAATATAAGCTGCCTTTTATTCAAGTGGGAAATTTGAACTTTGAACTTTTTCAGACATTTGTGGGAAGGACTAATGGCAGAGAACAAATAAAAAGATATACCACCAATACATCTGCAAAGTCTGGCAAGTTTTTAAAGAAATAATCAAATTAAATTCAATGCCAAACTGATTGAAAACACTACAGTTCCAATTACATTCTTCTTCGTAATCTTTTTTTAAATTTGGTATTGTTTTTGAATGAATATCTTCCATACAGACACGTTTCTCACGTTTTTCAGACGTAGGCAAAGATTCTTGTTGTTGTCAGCGACGTTTTAACCAATCAATCAAACGTCAACCGTCTTTCTTAGCTGCAATTTCTGCCGGGACTGCTCATCGAGAAAAAGGCAGGATTTAAAAACTTTTTTAATTTTGGAAATAGTAATAATAATTTTATTTATTCATTACATTAGTCACTTGCTGATTTAATTTTATGTAATAAAGTAATATAATTTGAGGCGAAATAAATAAGTCAAAGCTTTGTCGAATTTTTCAAAAATGTTTAAAATTTTAGACAAATTTCTTAAGCTAAAGATTTATAACATGATAATATAATTAGTAATAATAAATGTGATTCAATTTAAAAGTTTTTGGTTTAAATTGACTCGGAATTATTTTCAAATGTTCGTTTACTGCAGTACACTTACTTTACTTATGATCGGAAACAGTTTACTTTCTATAAGGAACATTTAAATTCTTTTTACCTTTCTTACAGCAGTTTAATTTTAATTATTCAGTAAACCACTTTTTCAAATTTAATATATTGTCATATTTGGTCCAAAATTCAGATCACTAAGAAAACATAATTTTTGTACGTAAGTTAAAAAATGATTAAGTGAATATCACTTACAACCTTTACTGCTGTAATTATGTTTATTTTTCCTAATTCTTAGTTATTTCACAAAATAGTACAAAACTTTTGACATTTTTCAGAATTTATGCAAACTTTTATATTATAAGGAAAACTGCAAAAGTTTTTAGCATTTTTTACTAGAAATACATACCAAACTGAAACTATTCAAAAATATTTAAAAGAATATTTTTTTTAGAAATTAATTTAATTTGAAAAAATACTTCAAAATTGATAACATTATTTTTATCACAAACTTATTGCATTAGCGTAATATTATTCATATTTTAGAATCAGGAATATCCGCTTCTAGTCTTGATTTATCCTCTCAAAGTCAATGCCTCAAAGAATCATCAATTCAGTTATCTTCTGGAAGTACCTCAAATATTCCAAAACTTAGCGAATTACTTCTGAAACGAACACACGTCCATAATCCATCGAAATATAATTATATAAGCAATCATTCTAATAACTTACAATGGTCAATAGCAAATTTTGTGAGTAATTGTATACTTGAACAATAATTGAAATATATTTATCACAAAATTGCTAAATAACTATTTGACTATTTTCAATATTTTTAGTATAAAAAATAAAATTATTAATAATACTTTTATTGATTTTCTCAAAATTTCCGTTATTTTTTAATGCATTACACACTTGGATTTACCTTTTTTGCTGAAATGATTATTTTTCTTTTTCAAATATACCAATATGAAACCTATAATGAATGAAGAGCAAATATTTTTAGAATAAAAATATGTCTGTTAAAAGTTGCCAGCTTCTCTTATTTATGTATAAATAGGTTATTAGTCGATATTCCGTAAATTGTTTATTGATTTTTTAACTTTTTTAAGATCATAAAATTAGGGAGTGATTTTTTTTTCTGATATATTATATTAACATATTTTATAGATTGCTGCAGAAGATGAATCACAGAATAGTTCTGAAAATGGCATTACAAGTAAGCAAAAACAAATTGATAGTGCCGCTGAAAAAAAATGGAATATTCTTAAAGTTTCCACATCTGATAATACAGATACGTGGAAAGCACGTGAAAATGTAGGAGTATCAGATTTTAAATTTAAAACAAACAAAACTGTAATAGATATCAATGGTACTTGCTTGAAAATTGATGGAAACAATGAATCGCCGTTAGTAACCGAAAATTTTGAAAAAAATTGTACAAAAAATCGAATTCAATTATCGAATATTGAAAAAAGTTCAAAATTTTTAAATGGTTTGTGTTTACAATTTTTAATTTTTCGAAATTTTAAATTTTTATCTGAAAAAAATTACAAATAAAGACTAATACTTATTTATTTGAAGATAAAAAATTGTTGTAATGATTGCAAAGAATAAAGCAAAAATAACATAGAATTA